TTTTAAAATGCACAAATTCCAGCTCCAAACATAACTAAAAACCAGGCAGTCTACGACCAACTGGCAAGCAGGCTGGCAAAGACTCATTTCAGCCTATCAGGTAGGAAAAAGAAAATGCATGGACTCTATACCTAAACATCAGAGCATACATTTTAAAATGCAATAAAAAATCCAGACCAAAAATGGTTTTCTCAAGGACACGGAAACAAGAGAGTAGAGAAATAAAACAATACTAACGTCAATAAGTAATAATTATTCCATCAAGACAAATGTTCCCGTTAAACTAAAGTTATGCAATGAGTATACTTATAAGTACATAGTCAGTTTTAAATTCCCCCAATAAAGCCAGGCACAGTGGCTCACACCTATAATCCTACAGCTTTGGGAGCTAAGGTGAGAGGATCCCTTGAGGCCAGGAGTTGGAGACCAGCCTGGGCAATACAGCAAGACTCCATCTCTACAAAAAATAAAAATAAATTTGCCAAGGATGGTGGCATATGCCTGTAGTCGTAGCTACTAGGGAGGCTGAGGTGAGAAGATTGTCTGAGTCCAGGAATTCAATGCTGCAGTGAACTATGATCACACCACTGCTCTCCAGCCTGGGCAACAAAGTGAGACCCTGTTTCTTAAAATAAAATAAAATAAAATAGGCCGGGTGCGGTGGCTCATGCCTGTAATCCCAGCACTTTGGGAGGCTGAGATGGGTGGATCACAAGGTCAGGAGATCGAGACCATCCTGGCTAACACGGTGATATCTCATCTCTACTAAAAATACAAAAAATTAGCTGGGCGTGGTGGCGGGCGCCTGTAGTCTCAGCTACTCGGGAGGCTAAAGCAGGAGAATGGCGTGAACCTGGGAGGCGGAGCTTGCAGTGAGCCGAGATTGCGCCACTGAACTCCAGCCTGGGCAACAGAGGGAGACTCCGTCTCAAAAAAACATAATAAATAAATAAAATAAAATAAATCGCAATAAAAAAACCAATTCAAAAAGGCAAAATTATATATCAAAATCCTTTCCAATTCCCTTTAGATTAGCTTCTGATACTGTGACTGAGGGAGTCATACATCACATCTCCATGGCCAGAAATCAGAATTTAGCTACTTGATAAAAGAATTAACTTGCTATAAATTACTGTTCCTATCAATATAACTAACGATTAAAAAATCATCATTAAACACTAGAGTATTACAATCCTTTGGGCCAGTTTTAGATTTTCTTTAATAGTTCCAAAATGAATAAAAGTCTAAAATGTGGACAGATTTAACTCATTAAATTGCCTTCACTATTATTCACAGAATAAAATCCTTAATTGATTAATGATCTCAGGGTGTCTATCGCCATCTAGTGAACAATCACTTCAATTACCACGTCAGACATTTGACAACTGATACCCCTTTTCTTCACGGTTTAAAAATATATGTCCACTCAGTGCTGTAGGCTTGCCCAATTTCTTTTTTATGCCTCTCTACACACGCACTGAGAACAAACACAAATACAGATGGTATTTCTATAGATTCACAGAGTACTTCTCTGAAACAGTGACTTCATTACTTTTAAATAACGTACACACTGTGAGATCCCTCATACAATTCCTTACCCATTAGCTCATTCCTCTACCACGGAGCAATTCAAAATCATGGAAGAGTTTAAGTGTGAAAGATCACACCTGTGAAAACACAATATTGATGCCCATTTGACACAACTACTAGCACTTTTATTATGCACCTGTTTTAAAAAGTACAATTAGTAATTACTCTGAGTATTCTAGCAGCCATAATACATTTGATTACAGAAATTATTAGGTCGCTAGAGCCAAACCTGCACGATTCCAACAAAACTGAGCAAACACAAAATAGACTTAAAAATAAAAAAGAAAGGGGGGCTTCAAGGCCTCCCAAGGCTGTGTATTTAATCCACATCCAAATGCAAAATTTTATAATCTTTTGCAATGGCAGGCTACCAGGTTTCCTTCTCATTAATTTCCACTTGAACCTTAATCTAATTTATCCCACAAGGACTTTAAAAGCAATGAACTTTTAAGATCTGCAGCTTACTGTATTATTCTGCCCACTCTATCCTGTCACAAAAAATACTAGTTTAATAAGTTACAAAAGTATTCCAAAATCTCAGCACACTGGCTCTCATTTTCACTTCACTCCTGCTACCTCTTTAACAATTAAAAAAAATCAAAGAAAGATGATCACATAGACTACTTTCATCCACCAGTGCTAATAATTATCTCCAATACCTTAACAATCATTTTTATGTTAGGAAATAATATTTGTAAGTGACTTTGGATCTTCTTCTAGAATAAGATTTCCTGGGAGAAACTACGTAATTATTATTTCTCAGTAGCTTCATATTACTTTAAAGGCCTACTTTCCAGAGCTTTATTTATCCTTATTTGAGGGAAAAAGCAAAGGGTAAAGAGAAAAGAGGAAAGCAGAAACCAAGAATTTAAATCACATACAACTAGTTCTAGATTTGTCTGAAATTCTTTGTTTTTTTAGTGTAGAGAACAGGGTTTTTTTTATAGTTCATTTATTAAAGATTTGTTATTATTATATTTTATTTAACAGAAAAATAAAAATTGTGTTTAAACTCCCTATTAAAAATCCAGCTAAAGAAAACCATTGCCCTCAAAATACAATGGATTAGGAGAGTGGGGGAGATCACTGGACAAATTTGGGGCTTATCATTATCAACAGTGCCCTTTCAAGCTTGTGGATTTCTGAGCCAATGCAGAAAATGTAACAACAGGGATTTCCCAACAGCAAGAGGCACTCTCCAAGGGAGTAAATTGTCAACTATTGCCTCTCATGAGAAACTTAAGAGTAACCTTGATCCAATCTCAATAGTCAACCCATGTATTATCACCCAGTTGGGGCATAGTGAGTGCATTTCCTAATACAAAAATAAGATGGTATTCCATCAGAAGCCACTGGATACATGTAAAGAAACAAAATTTAAATAATTTTAAAGTAAACTTAGCTTAAGAAACTGAAAACATCCTTCCCTTCCCTCACTTCAGCTAGCCCCTAAAACATCTATATCTTTCTCACATAAAAAAGGCCTGTGTCTTGAGATGGGTACCAAAAATAATGATCTTCCTGTAATAAGAGGTAGAATATAAAGCGGAACCACAGTCATAAAAGACATCTTGAGATGGAAGAGACAACCCTACTGTACTAAAAGGATTTACATTCAAAATAGCCACTTGTTATACTTTATCTCTTTGAGTTTTAATTTCCTCATCTAAAAAATGAGAACATTATTATCTATTTCAAAGGATTCTTGTGTAATTTCAGTGAAATAATGCATAAGAAAGCTTCTATCACATCACTGGTGTTCAATACATGTTTTGCTCTTCCTCACTGTGCCCTGAGCCAAATCTTTGAGATAGGGTTGCCAACAGAAGAGTGATTCTGAACATCCTGACGTTTATTTCACATACCAGTTAGATCTGCACTGTCCAACACAGTAGCCACTAGCTACATTTGTCTATTTAAGTTTAAATTCATTTTAATTATAATTAAAGCAATCTAAAAATCCAGTTCCTCAGCCAGTTGGCAGTAGCCAGATACCAAGTGCTCACTGGCCACTTGTGGCTAGAGACTACAGCACCGGATAGTGCAGATGGAGAACATTTTCATCATCATAAAGTTCTACTGGACAGAGCTGGTCTAAACGCTAAAGCAGGGGTCAGCAAACTTTTTTTCTAAAAAAGGCCAGAGAGTAAATATATCAGGCTTTGCGGGCCATATGAGCCTCCATCTTTTCTACTCGGCTCTGCTCTCATAACACAAAAGCAGACACAGATGATACATAAATAAATGAGCTTAGCTCTGTTCCAATAGAATATTATTTACAAAAATAGATGGCAGACTGCATCTGGCCCAATGGCCATCATTTGCCGACCCCTGGTCTAGAGCATTCAGAGTCCAGACGCCCCATTATAAGCATTTTTCCCATGACCACTACCTACCTCCTTTAAGACTAAATAGTCTTAAACCCATAGACAGGTAGTTAAATGGAATTTAATATTCAGCATAACTATTCTTTTACAAATTAAGAAAAACCCACGCACATAAGGCTAAAACAGTTGAAGCTTACAGTGTTCATAAAGTGACGGTACCTAAATTCTATTTGGTATCTGGACCATCTTATTAAAGCCAGTAACTCTCAATCCATAAATCCTGTCTTGACATATTCCTGGAATTCTAGATTTATACATCCAATGGCCTCCTTATTATGCCTGGAGATCTACTACTCATGCCAAAGGCAACACATCCACGACACAACTCTTAATCCTTCTTTCCCAGTTTCCTCCATCTTAGTAAAAGGCTCTACTAGCTATCTTCCTGATTTCTACCTTTCACTCACACTCCAAGCTAATCCATCAGCCAAAAAAAAAAAAAAAAAAAAAAGCTTTCTTACGTCATTTAGGTCTCATTCATGTCACCCCCTCAAAAAAGCCTTCCCTGACCAATCTAAACTAGCCATCTAAACATTCTCTAGCCCACCACCCTGTTTTATCTACAGAGCATTTACTTCTATCATATTTTCTCAGTTATTTCTTATACATGTTTATTTACTTATTTACAGTCTGTTTTCCCAAACCACCCTCTCTCCACCCCACATTCCCAACCCATGTCGTCCCCACCCCCAAACCCCTCCCATTCTGGGTAGAAGGTAAGCCTCATTACAGGGATCTTTTATGTCTTGCTTGACGTTCTATCCTGAGAACCTAGAACAATGCCTGGCATGTAGTAGATGTTCAATAATACACACACACACACACACACACACACACACACACACACACGAATTAATGAATCCTTATTTAAACGCCTATTTGTCTCAAACCTGTCATCCAAAGAGAGGGGTACTGTATTTGATGCTGTATAACTAGGTAATAAACTTGACTCTCCCACACTATAACATGTATAGTTAAAAATACTCTCATATCTAGAGATGTGAATATTATTATGCCATTTACCTCCCTTCCTTTGTATGTCACCAAGGCAGCCAGTGGTTTGGCGTAAAATCTGCTATAGGAAAATCCCAGGCAACCATACATACTGTTCGCTGTGAGCTTCAAAGCCTTCTGTCGAATGTCATACTGCAGGCCACACAGAACAAAAGACAAAACAACAACATTTACAGATGCTTAAGCGTTACATTAGATGTCTTTCTAGATCTCCAATAAAAAGGGAAACCCTCAATATCCCTGAATAAAAAAGAATTAACATACTCAACCCATTCTCCTGGATCCATGATTCCCTAACCTCCTAGAAGCAGCAAGTAAACACAGACTCCAAAGCTCCCAGGAGCTAGAGGTATCTTGCTCAGATACAACCTTTGTAAACAAAGGTGGCTTCCATTCTGAGGCACTCTAGTATTTTTAAATGGTCACCTACCCACAAACTTAAAATAAGTACCTGCATTTGCACAGCATCCTGTTTACTCATAAATAATCAAACTGTAAAAGCTGAGACTGTCACTCAAATGTTTCTTAGTGAAAAGATATACCTGAAGAATAAGGTCTGGATTTAAGTCTTGCTGTTTCATTAGCTGTTTGACTTGTTTTCTCCGTTCTACCAGTTTCCGGATCTCTCTGGGCAAAATGCCCATTTCTAAGCTTGGATCTGGCAATTCAGGGATTTGTTCTTGTTCTCCATCCTGATAAACACAACAAATTTCACACAAATCAAACTTTTGTGAAATAAATTTCTACAGTAATATTTTATAGGAGCTTTCCCCCATGATCACATCTTGAAAAGCTATTATCTTATATAAGGTCAACAATGCATGAGTAGTATAAGAAAGAGCTGAGAGAGTTGTAGAACAGGTCACCATTGCCCTCTTCTTTCCCAATTATATTAGGCTGTCATTCCCACTATCTCCCACCCCTGTAGTTAGACACAAATTTAGATTTCATTTAAAGGGATACATTTTTACACATGCTATCTCTCTTCCACAAGACTGGAGAACAATATGTTTGGTGAAATTGTTTTTAAAATACAAACACTAACACCTCCAGGATTAAAAAAACAAACAACCAGCAGCTAAACTACTATTTTAAATCATTTTTACTACCAAACAAAATGCTACAGAATTTGAAAACTATGGAGAATCATAGCAATTATTGTAAACGCTCTAGACTAAAAATAAAAAGCTAATAAATCAGCAAATTTAAGAGTTCGGAGCAGCCAGGAGCAGTGGCTGACATCTATAATCTCAGCACTTTGGGAGGCCGAGGCGGGTGGATCACCTGAGGTTAGGAGTTCAAGACCAGCCTGACCAACATGGAGAAACCCCATCTCTACTAAAAATACAAAATTAGTTAGGCGTGGTGGCGTATGCCTGTAATCCCAGCTACTCGGGAGGCTGAGGCAAGAGAACTGCTTGAACCTGGGAGGCGGAGGTTGCAGTGAGCCAAAATCACAACATTGCACTCCAGCCTGGGCAACAAGAAGAGCGAAACTCCGTCTCAAAAAAAAAAAAAAAAGTTTGGAGCACATTTAAATAGGCCATGACATTTCTAAAAACTAATACATATATATCCCTTAACATTTACGTAGTACCTTTTACCTACAAATTGCTATGCAATCGACAGAAGAATAGCAACATTTCAGAAAAGCAACCAGCAGTCTTCTTATATTAAAATTTACAGGAGGAAAAAGCAGGGGAAGCATTAGACCATTTTTCTCAAGCCTCCATTAATTCTATTAACAGCTACAAAGAAAAAAGCCAGGCACATTTGCCCTTTCAAAGGTTCAGAAATAAAAATAAACCTCTTGGTTTAAAGTACATCAAGTCAATGCCATTTGATAACCTAGCCTTTACAAAGCATCTGATTTTATAGAGATCAATATCTTCAAGTGAACACTCTTACAATAGTAATAGGGACCTACTGTTTTCCAATATAAGATGATGATAGTAAATCTATTAAAGAGATCCTGGTACACATTCCAATTTATTTACAGCAACTATGAAAGTCAGATAAAAAGTAAACTGAAAGGATGTAGAGTCAGGAAATTTACAATCTATTCCTAGCTCTACAACTACTACCTGTGTGACCCTAACTGTCCTGAGGTACCATGCATGAAAATGATTCAGATCTATAAATTGCTACATGTATAGTATTTCTTAGATGACCTCTGAGGTCCCTTCCAATTCCAAAATGATTCTTTTTTTTTTTTTTTTTTTGAGACGGAGTCTCGCTCTGTTGCCCACGCTGGAGTGCAGTGGCGCGATCTGGGCTCACTGCAAGCTCCGCCTCCTGGGCTCATGCCATTCTCCTGCCTCAGCCTCCTGAGTAGCTGGGACTACAGGCGCCCACCACCACGCCCGGCTAATTTTTTGTATTTTTAGTAGAGACAGGGTTTCACTGTGTTAGCCAGGATGGTCTCGATCTCCTGACCTCGTGATCCATCCGCCTCGGCCTCCCACAGTGCTGGGATTACAGGCGTGAGCCACCGCGCCCGGCCTCAGAATGATTCTATTATATATCCAGAATCCAAGCTGGAAAGCTCCAATAAGCAAAATGGTGGTGGGCAGAGGCTAAATAATATTAATTATCACCATGCTGGCACAGTAGCAGAGCAGAGCTCAAAGATTAATTGAATGCAGTCATACCTTTTGGGGATGTCTACCCAGTATCTTCTCTGTAAAAGTATCCACTAGTCCCACAGAAAGGCCCACCCTTAGCAGCCAGATTTGTACCCTGTGAACCTACTCTTGTGGTCACAGGTAACGGGGACCTGGGGCGCTCACCAACCTAGGCAAACCTATCGGATTCTCTCTTCTGGGAATATGAAATTGAGATTGAAAAACAGGTCCTAAGCTTGTGGTGAGAACTAAAGGACATATAAATTCAGGAGCTAGAGGGCAACCAGACATCTTCTGCCATGTATTTAAAAAAATTACAAAAAAGAACAAAATGTTGTATATGTATATACACCTACACATACACCACACATGCATATAAAATGGAATATTATTCAGCAACACAAACGAATAAAGTACTAGTACATTCTACAAAATGGATGAACCTTGAAAACATTATAAGTGAAATAAGCCAGATACCGAAAGGCCATATATTGTATGATTCTATTTATGAGATGTCCAGAATACACAAATCTATACAAGCAAAAAGATTAGTAGTTGCCTAGAGATGGAAGGGATAGGGGATTGAGGGAGGTGACAGCTAAAAGGTTTATTTGGGGAATAATGAAAATATCCTAAAACTGGTTGTGATGATGGCTGCAAACTCTGGGAATACACTAAAAGCCACTGAACTACACACTTTTAACAGGTGAATTATCTGGTATATGAATAATACCACAATAAAACTATTTTAAAAAGACACAGATCTTCCTTCTTTAAGCAATTCTTTTAAACTCGATTTCAAGAGTCCCAGGTTAAATACAAACCTCTGTAACTTTCTGTGCCTCTGAAGCAACTCTTTGTACTGTTGTAAAACAAATGTTAAATTCCTGAATGATGGAAGGATATAGACTGTTGAAGTCCAGAAGCAAAATGAACTTATCATAAAAACCTGAAATTAAAAAGCCACGTCATAAAAAGTCTAAAGAAAAGCAGAATTGTCAAAACATCATTATTAAAAGCACTATAAGTATATTAGAAACTACATACTATCCACATACACTATCCAGAGCTGTGAGACAGACAAAAAGGGAAAAAAAGAATCAACTACTGTTCTATAAAATAATGCAGATTAGTGAAAAGCCAGATCACAAAAGAGGGAGAAAAAGATCCTGTCTCTCTTTAGAACCAGCTACAATGAGTCCTTCCCCAGCTGCCCCCAAAGCACACCATTATCATGAGCAAATACCTTCCCAATCAGGTATCTGAGAGGTGTCACATCCATTTAAAAAAAAAAAAGTTCAACTCTCCTTCAAAGCAAGAATTCTTTGAAGAATTCCCCTACCTACTCTCCCACTCTCACCCCAAATAAAACCAAGTGAGTGGTTTGTTTATTTATTTATCTATTTATTTGAGACGGAGTCTCACTCTGTCTCCAGGATGGAGTGCCGTGGCGCAATCTCGGCTCACTGCAACCTCCGCCTCCCGGGTTCAAGCGATTCCCCTGTCTCAGCCTCCCGAATAGCTGGGACTACAGGTGTGCACCACCATGCCCGGCTAATTTTTTGTATTTTAGTAGACATGGGGTTTCACCATGTTGGCCAGGATGGTCTCGATCTCCTGACCTCGTGATCTGCCTGACTCAGCCTCCCAAAGTGCTGGGATTACAGGTGTGAGCCACCATGCCTGGCCGAGTAATTTATTCTTTTACAACAGCTTCAAAATATAAAACGAACAGCACACTTACCTGTACAAAAACTGAGCTAAAACCAAACAAGAGACACATATATATAAATGTCAGTAGTGGAACGACCCACCCTTTTTACTTGCAAAGGATGAACAGAAAGCTACTATATTTCTGTAGGACATTTACAAAGAGTTATCTTCACCTTGAGAAGAAACTGAATAAAAATAAATGTCCACTATTAAGACAGTAATAATTGCAAACACATAAGAGAGTTTATTCTGTGTCCAGTATCATACTAATTTATCCTTAAATCCCTGTGTGGTAGATATTACTCTTATCTCTACTTTACAGAAGAAACTGAAGCTTACAGAGGTTAAACAGGCAGTCCAAGATCACACTGAATTCAAACCCAGACCTACATAACACCAAGTACTAGTGCTCCATTTCATTATAACTAATAATAAAATCACTTTTGTCAAAAATGTCTCCTATTCAGAATTAACTTACTGGATAAAATTCACATTAATTCCTTCACAACAATGTGAATATTCTTAACACTACTACTGAACTGTACACTTGGGAATGGTTGAAATGGTTTTTTTTTAAATACAAAAAATTAGCTGGGTATGGTGGCACACACCTGTAGTCCCAGCGACTTAGGACGCTGAGGCAGGAGGATCACTTGAACCCAAGAGGTGAAGGCTGAAGTGAGCAGAGATCACACCACTGCACTCCAGCCTCGGCAACAGACTAAAACTCTGTCTCCAAAAAAAAAAAAAAGTTTTTTATTTTTATTTTTTTAAAGATTATTTCTAGCTCTGTGTACCACAAAACATCTTTGCCATTCATGACAATAGGGAAAAGGTATTCCGTTAAAGTTAAATTTGGTGGTTATTGTCTGTATTCTTTAACTTTGCTGTCAACTGAACTGGTCAGGACAAACAGCTATCTATGTACTGGACAGCTACCTATCTATTGGACAAACTAGCTTACAGACCAAATCCAACCTACTGCTTATTTTTGTACCATTCATGAGCTTAAGTATGGTTTTTACATTTTTAAATGGCTGGAAAAAAATCAAAAACAATATTTCATGACCTATGAAAACTATATGAAATTTAAATCTCAATGTCTATAAATATTTCATTGGAACACAGCATAACAAAATTCACATTAAGTCTATGTCAGGTGACTGGCAACCAAGATTTTCACATGAATGAAAGATAAAAGTCATGAGACCTATTTGCTGACCTGTAAGATACAATTCAGGTCTTCTAGCTTCTCAAGCCTAGATCCACATTAAGAAACTCCTTAATATTGGGAGAAAATCAATTCACTGCCCAGCCTTACCAACTTTGGGGTCCAAAACCAAGCCTCCAGCATAAGCTGCTTTCTTACGTCCTTTCTTATATTTATTGGTATCTCCATCAATTTCTTCATCTTCATCTCCCTAATATCAAATGGAAAGATAGCTTCACCACTAATCAACTAATTTAAAATTTTGATGATTCTCTCTTTTCCAATTGCAGGACTTAGTTCTAACAAACATTTCAGTTACTGGTCCTAACTGTTGGGAAAGACAGTTATTGTAATATGTTCATGAATCCAAATGAATTCCAAGCATAGTAATTTCTTAAACAAATACTACATCCTGAGTTAACAAATACAAAAATTTTATCTTTATGTTTCTGAATTTACAGAATTTCATATTTTTAAATCAATGAATATCGAAAAATACCACTTTTCATATTATACAAAATTTGAGATTATAAAACAGCCCTCTTAAAATCACTACTCTAATATTCATGATGTAAAAACATAAAATGCTTCATGTAGACATTATCATTATCCCTATTATTAATATGGACACCATAAAATAAGTACATCCATATACTGAAAATCCATTCCTAAGTAGTTTATTACTGGCCAACATTCAATAACTCAGCAAAAGTTAAAGTCCTCTAAATGAATATTCCCTATACCAATTTTGATAATGTACACTAAAAAACAAGCAAATATGAGAACCTGAATCAAATTTTAACATTCAATTCCCATTTCTGAATTAATTAATATCAGTGCTAATAAAACAGTAGCTAAACTAAGTTTTAGTTCCAAAGTGAAGGAAGCTACTTCAGAAACCTAACTGTGGGTGACCTTGGTCATACTAGTACAGAAAAATGCAACACAAAAATAAAGGCTCATAGGGTTTAAGAAAATAAAAAGTTTAACTGGCATTTATCTTTGGATAGGGCTAAGGTGCCAGAACACATTCCGTGTATGGTCACCCATCAGAGAGGTCTAATGCTTCCCTCAAAGAATTTCATATTTCACAAATAATTCTGCCTGCACAAAGTGCATTTTCCTTTTACAAAGTGGAAAAGGAAATGACCACACAAAAACAAGGGAATAAACTTGACACGGTTTCTACAGTACACAAGGGATTAGCTATTTTGAAAGCAGATGTTATCACAGAAAAAAAGGCTATCTAAGTATTAAAAAAAGGGGGGGGTAAATAGGTATTAAAAAGGGAGGGGGTAAGAGAAAACAAAATACTACACAGTTTTGGACCCACCAGTTTTTGCTGAGGTTTTCTGAAAATCTGCTTGTCAGGCACAATATAGTTGTTTTCGTAAAATGCATGAAGCAACAAGAACTCGTTACGCTCGGATCGTCCACCCATCAGCGTCCTGGACTATTAAATGGAATTTATTTTTTAAATTTGAGCTCAAAACCACAACTAACAAAAGCAACTTTGAGTCAGTAAGTTTAGTCACAGCACCTCCTTTAAAACTATTCCTAATAACGGGCTGTTTTTTAAAAAAGGTACTAAATTATTCCTAACGTCTTCTTTAAGCATTACAGTTAAAGGAGACAAAGACAGCTTAAAATATTGACAACTTGGCTATTTATTTACTCTCAAATGGACCATTCCACTAAACAGACACATCCAGATGTTAGAGAGATGATCCGTATGTTCGCCCAAATTTCAACACGCTGCACCTGGCATTCCTCCCCTTCTCCCAACCAGTTCTTCCTTTTACAAAAGAAATCCAGCTTTCGGAATCTAAGTTACTCATTTTATAAGCATGCATCTAGACTCATTATCATATAACAACTACCCCAAGCAAACACTGAATCCAACAGGAAATGCTTTTTCCCCCTTTCTAAGTTAAATTTACCATAATGTTCCCAGCGATGTTAGTGATCTGCAATGCTAATGGAAGAACATTTAGCTCACACATGATCTGCAAAATGAACTTGGCATCTTTCCAGGTGTGTTCCAACAGGTATAACAGTTGAGAAGATTCACTGTACAGAAAAGTAAGAATGAAACAGAATCAAGTAATTAAAAGAAACAATGCCTATAATCAGAACTTTGCAAAATATTACAAGGAATTTTGGGTATAAGTAAATTCAGAGCAACAGCACCTTGGCTTCAGAAACAATTTAAAATAAGGTCAGTATGTAACCAGGAATTCATTCATACCATTGATCCCAATGCTTTTCTCCAAAACACACACACACACACACACACACAAAATCCCGTAAGGAAAAACTGAAGTAATACAATAATTACAAGCCTGAAAACTATCTAAATCCTTTCATTCATTCCATCCAGTGAGTATATATTGCATGCTTACTATGTGCCAGGCATTGGCTGTGACCAAAACAAACAAAATTTCCTTTCCTCCTGGAGCTTATGTCCTCATGGGGGAGACAGAGTATAAAAAAGGCAAAGAAATTAAGTATACAGTATGTTATATAATGTTAAAAGTTAAGCAACGGGAATATTAAGTATCAGAAGCAGAGACTGAAATTTTTGTTAGGAAATAGTGGAAGATTTCACTGAGAATAAAGACCTGGAAGAGGTGAAGGAGCAAGACTTATGGAAAGAGCATTCCAGGCAGACAGGATAGCACACTTAAAAGCCCTGAGCTGCATGCAAATCTGACAGTTTCAGGGCTAGGAAAGAGGCCAATATGGCTAGATCAGAGAGAATGATGGAAAGAGCAGTAGGAGATAACGACAGAGTTAACAACATAGAGACACATTGTAAAGGACCTTGTAAGTAAAAATAAGGACTTTAGTTTTTACTCTGAATGAAACAGAGTCACTGGAAGATTCTGAGCAGAGTATCACATATGACTTGATTTTAGCAGGATAACTCTGGTTCTGGATTGAGAATCAACCACAAGGGGGAAGGGCAAAAGTAGGAGATAGGCATATTAACCCAGTAATCCAGGGGAAAGAGGATAGCAGCTTAGACAGGATGGGTCCAATGGAGTGGAAAAGAAGTGGTCAGACTTAGATATATTTAGAATATAGAACTGACAGGATACCCTGATGCATCTAGTGTGGGATATCAGAGAGAGGAATTAAAGATGCCTCAGAGATTTTGGGCTAAGTAAGACTCTGGAAGTTTCCAGTGATAATGGAAAAATACATTTATTAATTTAGTAAGGAAAGACTACAGGAAGAACCTAGGATCGATCAGAGCTCAGTTTTGAACAAGCTGGGAGTTCACATTAGATATCAAGTAAAATAGGTAAAACAGATACACTGAGTCTGGAATTTAGGGAGGTCTAACCTGAAGACACACAGGTGGGAGGCATAGGCATCCACATGGTATTTAAATTCCTAAGACTCAATGAGATCACCTAGAGAGGGAGCAAAGTCAGAAAAGAGAAGTCCAAGGAAGAACTCAGGAAGAACTAGCAGGAATGAATGAGAAGGTCAGAGGAGTAGGAGGAAGAAATAAGCAAGCAATACCTCTAACTTAATGATTGCTCAGTTTTTATATTTCTAAAATATCTACCCTAATTCCTGAATAAATGAATTAAGAGTAGAAATCTAAATCCAAACTACTGTTAGGAAACATCAAGATAGTGTTAACACAGGTGAGGGAGATGGAGATAAACTGATCAATTACAATAATTCAAGAGGTAAACTAGTTCAAATTATGAAAATAGTGGAAACAATTTCCCCTCTACAGCACCACTGGCTCATGTCCCTCCAGACTAAGGATAGTACTAGCGTCCTGCTGTTGTTAATTTCAAGACAGATGAATTCTGAAGAATCTAGGATCGTACCTGTACATATTTCGTATATCTTCCGTTGGGATTACAACCCTTTCAGTTTTTAGAATCTGCTGAACAAGTTCAGACAGATGGTAGCTTTTACAACGAATCAATTCCTTTGCTGAAATTTCCACATCACAGATCATTCGACCACAGGTAGCATTTCTTTCACCAAATCCACTCCGGCCCTACGAGATGGGAACAAAAAGCAAATTTCATGAAAGAGCAGACACTGAGAACATTTCTTTCTAACATATTTTGACGCTGGCCCAAAATTATGATAAAACTCTCATTCTTCCATTTATCAATCAAATATTTTTGAACATTTACTATGTATCTGACATTATTCTAGGCACTCAGGATACAGCAGTGATCAAAACAGAAAGGATTCCTGGCCTCATTTGAAATGTATAATAAAAAACAGACATCATAAGCAAGAAATTATATAGTTTTAGGAGGTAACAAGTATATGGAAAATGGGAAAACAGAGCAGGGTGAGGGGTACAAAGAATATGAGGGGACTGCATCTTTAATAGGGCAATGGGGTATACCTCACTGAGAAGATGTCATATAAAGAAAATCTTGAAGGGGGTAAAAAGCTAAGCAAGTATTCAGATGAAGTGCTAATAACAACTCTACCACCTTAAAGATATGAGTAAGAGAAGAAGCAAGAGCAGTGGCCCCAACTTTGATCTGTAGTGGCAGAATCCTCTAGAGAACATTATGAAAAAGGTACGGATTCCTAACTTATCTGATGAGGCAACATGTCCATTTTATTTATAAGCTTTAAGAAAAATAAGATTTCAAGCACTGAGCAGTATCAGGTTTAGAAGAAGGTGCTTCACACAAAAATTGCAAAAACCTTCATACATGAAGCAAGCAGGTAGAATAAAAAGTACACACTGGCTTTAAGTCACCCAGGCCTGGGTTCAAATCTCAGTTGTTCCCCCTTACTAGTTACATGATCCAGAACAAGTTATGTTACCCCTATGAGACTGTCTATAAAATAAAACTGGAGTTGTCATGAGAGGTAACTAACACAGAAAGCACTAGTTCATTGCCTTCTTTTTTCCTTTTCTTAAATTACAAGATATCATCAAGCAATATTGCATTCTTATACAACCAACATCAATTCTCCTCCATTCATTCTTCCCATCTTCTTCCTAAATAACACTCAACGATTTCTGAACCCTGCAACCTTGCCCTAAGGGCTGCCACTTCAGGAATGACAAAGTGAAGGTAACATGTATGTGCTGTCTTTGTTCACTATTCCTAGATTCTAGCTGATGATTTTAAAAACTACCAGAGGCTTTTACGAATAATATGCTGAATTCAAAGGAAGAGATGTTTAGTGCCAAAGTTAAAATGTACTGAAGTTCCTATAACAAGATAACCAATTCCTATTTTAAAAAGTATAGGGTGTTCCCTGGTAGCTACCCCACATTAAAATAAATAAATAAATAAGATTTTGAAAATTATTATTACCCCAAGCTTTGGCATGTTGGATCGCTTCAGTCGACCTATCTTGGACCAGTGAGGAGCTTTGCACACATTAATTCTCTGCAGTAGAACTTCCAGTTCAAACCCATAAATATTATGACCCTAGTCAGAAAAAGAAGGCAGCTGATAATGTTATAACAAATGCAAATTAGAGGATTTATCTTCATACGCACAGAATTTCTTTGCCCTTTCTTTTTCTAGTCTCTAATTGAAGACATCATGCACTTACCTCCGATTGGGGGTCCTTTCTTCTTCAGGAATTTATTCATCAGCAGCATTCATTAGCCTTGACATTAACAAGGCTGCTAAGCAGATTGCTGGAATAAACTTTATTTCATCCTAATTGATGCAAGGCTCATATGATGTATTTTAATTTGCAACTCATGCCTCACAGTCTCGGAGGCAAATGCAAATTTAATGTCCCATACTTTTCATGTGATCGGTAAAAGCTAAATTCAAATAATTCCATTTTGCTTCCTTAAAAACATAGAACCTGCCTGTGTTGTATGACAGTTTATGCAAGACTTCTTCAAAAGCTCAGGAACTGCATTTAGCTTCTTTTTTAAAAATTAAGTTCAAACACTACTGATTTAGACTCATAAGTGATATACAACAAGATAAATATATAATACCACTAAATAGTTCAAATAAGAAACTTGTTAAAAATGAAGAAACTATATAGAGTAGAAACTATCTCAAAAATGCAACTAGATTTCATTTCCATAATTTCCAACATGTGAACATGATTCACTTGCCTATGTTTATCAAAACTTAGATCAAATTTAAAATAATTCACATCAATAAATATGCTTGTTATTAAACTTAATTAAAACTATATACCACTACTTAGAGTAGTCAAAATCACAGAAACAAAAAGTAGAATGGTGGTTGCCAGGGGCTGAGGGAATGGGAAGTTAATGAGTACAGTGTTTCAGTTTTACAAGATGAAAAGAGTTACAGAGCTGGATGGTGGTGATGGTTGCATAACATTATGAGTGTAGTTAATACCATTGAACTGTATACTATAAAATGGTCAACATAGTTAATTTTATGTTATGTGTATTTTACCACTAGATATTTACAGCAGTTTTGCTTATTAAATTAGAAGACCCAAAGGCCTGGAGGAGGTCTCACTTATAAATTACAATATCTAGAATCAGGGACCCAAAATTCATGTCAGAATTCCATCTTACATCTAGATTTCTCATGCATAGACTTGGCTCTAACACTGGAAGCCAGACCAGGTTTCCCAGGCTTCATGGCATCTCCTTGGGGTCCAAGACACTGTTGTTATTGAAGGCTGACTGAGGGCCTGGTGCTGAGACAGAATGTCACAGTACAACACTGTGGACAGAATCTTTTTGGAACTTTAAAGATAGGTCTTGAAATATCATAAGGGAAGTGGGTGCAGAGATATCGCTTCCAATCCACAGGAACTCAGGATGCTAGCCATACAGTAGCCAAATAAGGGTATCCAAGAGTGAAAATGAATGTAGGGAAGAATACGGCAAACACTTTTGTAAGACTTCAATGTACCCAAATTACCCATATCACATCCAAAATATAGGCATTTATAGCCTACATTCTGAAAAAAAACAAAAATAATGATTGATCCATTAACCCAGAAAAAAGACAAATGAAGGAATTCCATATTCTATAAACTAGAAAGGCCAGAGGATATATAAAGCAAAATGTTGCTTTACGACTCTCAGGTATTGGGGCAAAAAATAGCTCAATGAATTATTAACTCAAGCTGTCTAGTGGGGACATACTGGATCGTCAAGAGAAAAATCAATTCCGAGCCCTGAGTTTTCAAAGGAATATGTCATAGAGATCCACTGAACTCATAAAATTAAAATACTTAGTTTTATGACTTGCACCAAACCAAGGGAATTAATAAACTCCTGTGACCACTATATAACTACTAAGTCAAGATTTTGGCGATAACTCCGTTTGTACAGATTTACTTACTTATGTGCTGGTCTCTAAGCATAAATAGCCAGACAATCCTTAACTTCAACACTAAGTCATGGGTTGCTTTTATACTAGAGAAAAAAAAAAACTATCTTGCAGTGGGCTTGTTATTTTTTTCTCCTATTAGCAGCAATTCCCACCAGTCCACAGAATCATTTCACTCTGAAAAGATTGTTTGCTGCTCGAAAGCACCAATAAAGTCATACTGAAAAGAACTAAGAAATGAAGAGCTTCCCCACAACATGATCAAACATCTACTCACCACAATGATATCAGGATCAATTTTGTGAACTTTTGCAAGGAAAAAACCTAGCAGTGTTCTTTCTGTTGCAGCAACCTCAACCTTCACATTCTGTTAGATAAAAACACACCAGTCACTGACGACTCTTTACTGTCAGCAAGTACTGTACCTTGGCTTCTTGTTCAACTATGGTAAGATTTCTTAGGGTTAAAAGACACCATTCATTTCAAAATCAAACGTAGCAATGAAATTCCTGATTCTAGGTTTCATAGTAATAATTGCAAAGTCTCTGAGGAGCTCATTCTAGTAATAAGCATGTGAATAAAGCAAAAGTTTAAGCATTGAGCAACATAAAATACAGAAATGTCCCTCCACAGGGACATGCTTGTGCATCTGTACACATTCAGAGCATATGAATCAGAGTACCTATCAAAAACATACTTTCCTACATAATCCCTGGTAGATTTCACTGTTTATGTATTTACTGGGCAAAGAAATTCCAAGGATTGTATAAAATAATTCCAAATGGTAAGATAAGAACTGATAAATAAGAAACTAGACTAAAAACAAACATATTTAAGAATTATAAGTGACTGGGCGCAGTGGCTCACACCTGTAATCCCAGCACTTTGGGAGACCGAGACGGGTGGATCACCTGAGGTCAGGAGTTCGAGACCAGCCTGACCAACATGGTGAAACCCTGTCTCTACTAAAAATACAAAATTAGCCGGGCGTGATGGCACGTGCCTGTAATTCCAGGCTGAGGCAAGAGAATTGCTTGAAACTGGGAGGTGGAGGTTGCAGTGAGCGGAGATTGTGTCATTGCACTCCAGCCTGGGCAACAAGAGCAAAACTCCGTCTCAAAAAATAAAAATAAAAAGAATTATAAGTGTTTTAAGCATAAACAAAACCTATCTTCACACAAAAGGCTTCTATTTGGATTAGTGATTATAAATCAGGTATTCAAAAGATCCACTCATTAAAAATCTCTAAAAATGGAAGTTGATGGTTATATGTTTTCTACAACTAGGTCAGTTTAAAAATGTCAGTTTGGCTGGGCACGGTGGCTCACACCTGTAATTCCAGCATTTTGGGAGGCCGAGGCGGGTGAATCACTTGAGGTCAGGAGCTTGAGACCATCCTGGTCAATATGGTGAAACCCTGTGTCTACTAAAAATATAAAAATTAGCCAGGCATGGTGGCACGAGCCTGTAATCCCAGCTACTTAGGAGGCTGAGGCATGAGAATCCCTTGAACTAGGGAGTGGAGGCTGCAGTGAGCCAATATCACGCCACTGCACTCCAGCCTGGGCGACAAAGTGGGACTCTGTCTCAAAAAAAAAAAAGTCGGTTTGACTGTAATGGAATTTTCCTAGGTCATTTTACTTGGTTGTGTAATTCACGGCACTTCACAAGTAACAGCCTAATCTAACAGTACCTCCCAACTACTGGACTTCTGAAGCCAATTAAATAAAATAAGTAGAACCCGACGAAGTTGCTTACTTTTGCAAAGTGAAGACATTAAAAAAAAAAAAAACTTAAAAATGTATCAGTATCATTACTTCGTAAAAGAAACAACATACAATCCATAAAAGAAAATTATTTTGATTGAATACATTTACCTTTGTGAAAAATTCACTACATTATACTGCTTCCCACTCCTCCCCATTTAATTAAGAACCCATGAAAACTTCTTCATGGAGCACACTGGAATTTAGAGATCAGTGATCCATTTTGGCCAGCCCTACGTCAACTTTGTCAATACATGGCTTAACATCCACAGTATTTCCAACTTCATTTGGCTTCCCTCAAGCTGGGGAGGGACTCTACCCAACACCTTCCCAAAACAGTAATCATATGATCATGCATTTTAGAGAAGAGTCTAATTAAGCTATTGGAGGGGGGTTTGAGCCTATCCAACCACCAATACAGTACAGAATCCCATTATTTTTAGGTAGTAAAACATTTAAACATTGTTAAATAATGCTTCTAGATGTATATGTCTAACACATTTTAATGGGTCGATGTCATAGTCCAATCTGGCAGGAATGAATCTAACAAAATGTAAAACAACTTCTTTCTACTAGTCCATACCACCCCCCTTTTCTTTCTCTCTCCAAACAAATAGGTGCTTCATATAATGAACATTTTACCTTTTTCTCAATGACTTCTTTGAAAGCATATGGAAAAATACAGTCCTTTGGTTTAGACACAACTGTAAAAAGGAAAAAAAAAAAAAAAGATTCCAACACCCATCTTAGTCTAATTTCAGGTAATCATACAGTACATGTTTCCAAACGAAACTGTCTTAAATATATTCCCCCCATCCCTAAAGAATTAGGAGGATCATCAAATACTTCGACTGGTCATGCTGATGACCTCAAAAGAATAGTCAAGCACAGAATCCCAAGTCCCTGCAGTTGTTAAAACTGCTTTGATGAAACATTTGCTACCTATCCATTGAAGTCAGAATGGAAGATTTTAGCAGTCTTCCTCAAAGGAAATCCCACCACCACCAATGCCCCAAGCAGCATACAGTGCAGAAACTCAGTTCAACCTTCTCAAAAGGTAAAACTGACCAAAGCTTCCCCCATTACACACTATAAGTTCCTTACCATACACAACAGCTGTTCACATAGTGACGTACATAGAGGAAGTGAATAAACGCATGTTGAAATGAGCTCATGAAAAAAAAAAGAAATGAGCTCATGATTGCTCTCTTCTACATATTTTCCAGGCTATTCTCATCATTTTGTTCCATGTGTTCCACCCACTTAAGGGGTAAAATTTCACAACAATCATACCTCACACTCCCTTCTCTGCATGTTTTAGTCCTACTTTCCTAATACCCAAGAAAACCAGACAAGAGGCTAGCCAAGTTAATCTCTGCTTCTGGGCTGAAAAAGATCCCAGGAAATAAAATAGGTCAATGGTATTGATCCCTTTTTTAAAAAAACAGCAAAATGCTTAGGTAACTGGCCAAGCTCTCAACATGGAATATATCATGGAATATAGTCTCCTCCTTGAGGACTGACTCATAAAACACACATGCAGACCTTCATGGAATTGTTTCATCCACTGAATTTTATGCATGGCACAACTCAACTCCAATTGACATTACTATAACTCCTCCCAAATAGGTAAATATTTGTTCCTTGGCATCTTGCCTCATCACACAGAAAACTTTGATCAAGTTTCTATGATAGGCTATTAGAATGACATCAGAAAATAGTTAAAGCCTAATTTTGACCCAGAAAAAAACTACTCAACCTCAGTAGAGCAACCATTGAAACAAAAAAAAAAGATATCAAATAGACTCCAGACTTCTGCTCCTAGAAAAAAAAATGAACCAGCTGAATAGGAGGCAACCAACCCAATAAAACTTAGTTTCCACGGCAAAAACAAAAAACAAAACAAAATGCTCTTTAACAATATGCACTATTCTTGAAAACAATTTTTGAAAAACAAGTTACTGATGCAATCGCTGGAAAAAAAAAAATAAGGAAATTCAAATCAAGCTGTTAGTAAACCAGCTTAAAAAAAATACATACCACAGAAGTGTGACTGAAAGGGAGGCTTTGGGGCTGCTTTATCCAATGCAAAACTGTGATGGACCAAAGCTGCCACAGCAATAATCTGCAAAGAAAGGAGGAAAAAACCCACTTACCAGACTGCTACTATATATTCTGCATTCTCACCAAAATCACCAAGAATATTTAAAGATACACATTTAAATACATAGAAAACTTTGGCCAGGCGTGGTGGCTCATCCTCATAATTCCAGCACTCTGAGAGGCTAATGCAGGTGGACCACTTGAGGTCAGGAGTTCGAGACCAGCCTGGCCAACATGGTAAAACTCCGTCTCTACTAAAAATACAAAACTTAGCTGGGCATGGTGGCGTGCACCTGTAATCCCAGCTACTCAGGAGACTGAGGCAGGAGAATCACTTGAACCCAAGAGGCAGAGGTTGCAGTGAACTGAGATCGTGCCACTGCACTCCAGCCTGGGTGACAGAGTGAGACTCTGTCTCAAAAGATAATAAATACTTTAAACTTTTTATTATGAAAATATGTAAACACATTAAAAAAGACAAAATAATAAAATAACTCCTATATAGCCATCATCCAGTTTCAATTATCAACTCATCTATAACCCTACCCACTTCCTTCCTTTCTCTAGATTATTTTGAAGCAAAACCCAAACCCATCATTTTATCTGGGAAGATTTCAGCATCAATCTCTAAAACTGGTTTCTCAATCGTGGAGCTATTGACATCTTGGGCCAAATAATTCTTTGTTGTGGGGGCTGTCCTGTACACTGTATGATGTCAGCAGCATCCCCAGCATCTCCCTACTAGTTGCCAGTATTACCATCCCCAGACGCCCTGAATTGTGATAACCAAAAATGTCTCCAGACATTGTCAAATGTCCCCTTAGAGGCAAAATCTCACCCAGTTGACAACCACCACCACTCTGAAAGATAAGAAGTTTGAAAAATATAATCACAATTATTTCACCTAATACAATTACAAGAATAGTAATTTCTTAAAATCATCAATTATCCAGGCAGAATTTAAATTTTCATATTTTCCAATTATCTCAATTTTATTCACCACATAAGGACCATACTTAGTAATGGTTGATATGTAAACCTACAGATACAACCCTATCCCATCTGTCATTCCCCTGCAATTTATTTGTTAAAGACACCAGGCTGTTTGTCCTAGAGAGTGCCCCATAGAATGGATTCCACTGCTTGTGTCCCAACAGCATCATTTAACTTGTTTTTCTGTCTCCACACTGCCTATAAATTCATAGTTAGGTCTAAAAGCTTGATCAAAATCAGGTTCAATTTTGGAGCAAGAATACTTCAGAGGTGCTGATTACTTCTATCAAAAGGCACAGGCACATAATGTCTGCTCATCTCTACCTTAGAGATATAAGCACCCACTGGTGATCACTTCCTAGATCCATTATTTCACCGGCAATTACAAAGTGGTACTATTCCATTTATCTATCATTTATTAGCTGAAACCTTCTATGAAGAGAAACTTCCCCTCATCAATTATTTGGTTGCTGAGGTATAGTATGCGTTCAGAAAAGTCAAAAAACTTATTCATTCAATCCCTTTATCAGTTTTCAAAATGAGTTGGTTCCCTAGCTTCCTTCAGAAGTGATCAATGTGGTGTCATTGCAGACAATATCATTATGAACTCATGGATCTGATGTGTTGCAATCTGTTAAACTTATTCTTACCCTCACATTGTCCCATCTTTGTTCAGTAGAAGACTCTTCAAGTTGATTCCTGAGTCCTTTTGACATATCTTCAGTAGATTTTAATACTGTCCTTGCTTTCTGGTATAAGATGTTCCAGACATCCTGGACATTTCCTTCCCTGAATCAGCCACTACTCCAGAGAACCCAATTTCCTTTTATTAGAAAATGGGGCCGGGCACGGTGGCTCACGCCTGTAATCCCAGCACTTTGGGAGGCCAAGGTGGGTGGATCACTTAAGGTCAGGAGTTTGAGACCAGTCTGGCCAACATGGTGAAACTCCGTCTCTACTAAAAATACAAAAATTAGCTGGGCATGGTGGTGGTGTATGCCTGTAATTCCAGCTACTCGGGAGGCTGAGGCAGGAGAATCACTTGAACCCAGGAGACAGAGGTTGCAGTGAGTGGAGATCACATCACTGCACTCCACTCCAGCCTAGGAAGACAGCAAGACTCCGTCTCAGAAAAAAAAAAAAAGAAAATGGAAACTGGAAACCTCAATCTGGACACTAGAGGTGGATACTTTTTTAAAATTTTAACTAACTACTAATTAAACTTCTCCCAAACACTTAACTATGACCATCTAACGTATTAACTATTATTAAAAGATCACGTCAGATGCAGTGGCTCACACCTGTAATCCCAGCACTTTGGGAGGCTGGGGTGGGCAGATCACGTGAGGTCAGGGGTTCAAGACCAGCCTAGGCAACAAGGTGAAACTCCATCTCTACTAAAAATTAACCGGGTATAGTGGCCCACACCTGTAATCCCAGCTACTCGGGAGGCTGAGGCAGGAGAATCACTTGAACCTGGGAGGCAGAGGCCACAGTAAGCCGAGACTACATCACTGCACTCCAGCCTGCACAACAGAGTGAGACTCTGTGTCAAAAAAAAAAAAAAAAAAAATCAAATCACAAACTAAAAAAAAAAATCAGAGTGAAAATACTGACAAAATGCTGTTAAAAAAGATCCCTATCAATGTCAAAAGGGCTTAGGAAGTTAAAACATAACAACCAAAATAAATAAATAAATAAATAAAGCATCAGTCACGACTGCATGTAATGTAGGTCCCAACCTCCTACTAGGACAACTGGCAATAAAAGAGAAAGAAGTAAGCATTTATCCTGTCTTTCCTGAATAAACCATTATGGCATAACCAAATAATACTGGCTAAAGAGAAAAATTTAATTTTGTAGAAAAACTTAAAAGCCATAGACAGAATTATAAAAAACCACCATTTTACAGCTCCTAATGAAATAACTAATTCAAGCAAAAATGACTAATAAATGAAGCCATTAGCTCAGTGGTTCCCAACTGGGGGTAATTTTATCTACACATACACATCCCCTGGCGTTGGGACATCTGATGATGTGTTTGTAGGCATTTTTTGGTTGTCACAACTAGAGGGGAGGGATGCTACTGGCATCTAGAAGGTAAAGACCAGGGACACTGTTAAACATCCTACAATACCCAGCACAGTACTCCACAAAAGAATTATCCAGCCCAAAATACATGTAGTGTCAAGGTTAAAAAATCTTAGATGAAAAGCTGATGGAGAACTACAATAGTTCTCATTCATTCAGCCGCTAATCAGACACAGACTCGCTAATAGCAGGTTATTTTTTTCCATTGATCCCAGCCTTTGTCAACTAATAGCAGCTTAACTAGACATTGTGTCTTCTGATATGATGTAATATGAAGTACACTGCATCACCTATAAAGCATTTTGGCTAAAAAAGTTGAACCTGAATCTAATTTGATCCTTTAGAGCTCATTTATAGTATGCAGAAATATGAAGGATAAGGCTGCATCGGCACACTTTTTCTTTCAAGAGCCAGACAGTAAATATTTTAGGCTTTGCAGGCCATATGGTCAGTGTTACTACTCAACTCTGCTGTCATAGTGCAAAAGCAGCTGTAGACATGGTGTCTTCCAATGAAACTTGACTTACACAAATAGGTAGCAGGCTGGATTTGGCTTACAGACAACTCATTGCCTGCCAACCGCTGGTATAGAGGAAAAGTCCAATGACACCACAACAAAGCAAATAAATAGAGAAAATGGGATATTCTACGAGACAACCAACAATGATTCTTTAATTTTTCAATGTTATTAAAAAAACTGGAGAGTGGGAGTGAGTTCTTCCTATTTAAAAGAAATTCAAGAGGCACAGAGATTAAACACCATCTGTGAATCTTGTGTGAATCCTGATTCAAACAAACCGAGTGTTAAAAGGCATCTTGAGAGACGGAGTCATCTAAGTATGGACTGAGTATTTTAGATTATACCAAGGAGTTACTGTTAATGTTATTAGGTGTGCTAAGGGTATTATATAAGAAATACCACATTTTGAGAGAAGCATACCAAAGTTCACAGGGAAAATGACACAATGTCTGAGACTAGCTTTAAAATACTTCAAGAAGACAAAAAAAGGAGAGAAATAAACAAGTGTGACAAAATCTTGCTAACTGCTGAATATGAGTGATTGTTATGGGGAGTTCATTTTATTATTCTGTCTGTGTCCATTTGAAGTTCTCCTAAGTAAAAAATTTAATAGACAAAAATAAGTTCAGCAATCTAAGTCTTTAAGAAAGAACTCCAACACTAGACAAATTCAATTCATTCTCTATAATAAGAGTTTAGTAGTGAATTAGTATTCTTTCCCCTCCAAAAAGAACAACTTTCTCTTAAAGCAAAGCTGTGCAAGTTCAGGCAAGTATCGCATCTAAGGCATGGGTACAAAATCTGTCCTATTTTTTAAACCTCATTTTGATGGTTCTTTGCATTCTGCATTGTCTTCATGCTGAAAGCCATCACGACAAGCGGTGGAGGACTGACATCCTTAATTACATTCACCAGGTCTGGTTTCAAAGCCATTGCCTCAACTTTACACCAACTGATTGGCTGATTCAAGAGCTCTGAAAAAGAATAGATACAACAGATCAATAGCTATTTACTGAAAAAGAAAAACTACTATAATTAAGACATCTGTCATTAACTGGCATATTCTTCAACTCTGCCTTCTAATAAGAATGACATATTATAACATCTAACTAAAAATAAGCCACATTACTGGGTTGTATGCAAATCCTCACGTGTGTGTACATATGTTCATTTTCCTGGGAAAGAGGTCTATAGCTTTCATCAGATTCTCCAAAGAATCCAGGACCCAAAATAGGTTTTAAAAAAACTGAAACACTGCCTTGGAGGAATCATGAAACATTTTTAAGACAAAGCAGACTATCATAGAAGCAATTACTGAAAAACATCAGGTAACAGGCCAAACATGCACTATCTATATTGAATAGCGATTCTCCTCCTTCAAAGGTCAGCAGTTCACTATGCAGAACAGCTGGGCCACATCAGCCAGGTCAGAAGTACATATGAATAACAGCATAATGAGGGATGCACCCCAAACTAAGGCCTCCCTCAGACTAAACTGCCAGGCATTACAGAGATAAGGTGATTCCAAATGTACTCCCTATACTCACTCAAGGAAAACTGAAGAAACAAACAGAAAAGGAAGTAGACACACTAAAATAAATAGATCAATTTCCTAACTTCCCTTTTAAAAACCACATCTATCAGCAATCTATTCAGCATTCTGAGCATTTTTTTTTCCTTACGTGGACTTTTTACTTCAAGCCAACAAGGTCCTTTGATCTTTCTGTTCATCAAGAATAGTTCCAGGCTAGATGTGTTGGTCCCAAATACATGAGAAAAAGTTTCTCCTTTCAAATCTTGAGGAAGCTGTGGTATTTCAGCCTGAAAAAGGCAAAAAAAAAAAAAAAAACTTTTTGTTTAAAACTATTACTTTGCATTTTCCAAAGTCTATATTTGAAATAAACAAAAGCCTCTCTATGAAGCACAGAAGAAACCCCTTTGATACATATGAAACGTAATTTGCCACAAATGAAATCCAAAACAATTCACAGTAGGAAACAAAACCAATTCACAATGACAAAATAATGCATCTTGATGACACCCATTAGAAGAAAAATAGGCCAAGAAGCTCCCTCAAAAGAGAATTTCTGTCCAGAGCTGTACATGCCTTACTGATAAAGAATAGCGAAGTAAGTACCACTCCATTAGAAGAATGAAAGCAATAGAGTGGAACTTATTGAAAATACTTTTCATCACCACTGTCAGAAATAGTTCTTAAGTTTTTCTTCTCTCGGAGGCAGAGGTAGGCGGATCACGAGGTCAGGAGATCGAGATCATCCTGGCTAACACAGTGAAACCCCGTCTCTACCAAAAATACAAAAAATTGGCCGGGCGTGGTGGCAGGTGCCTGTAGTCCCAACTACTCGGGAGGCTGAGACGGGAGAATGGTGTGAACCTGGGAGGCAGAGCTTGCAGTGAGCCGAGATCGTGCCACTGCACTCCAGCCTGGGTGACAGAGTGAGATTCCGTCTCAAAAAAAAAAAAAAAAGTTTTTCTTTTCCAACGTTGTGGGAACAAAACACTAGCACACAGGTAAAAAGAGGTTAGGGGCCAGGCGCGGCGGCTCAAGCCTGTAATCCCAGCACTTTGGGAGGCCGAGACGGGCGGATCACGAGGTCAGGAGATCGAGTCCATCCTGGCTAACACGGTGAAACCCCGTCCCTACTAAAAAATACAAAAAACTAGCTGGGTGAGGTGGCGGGCGCCTGTAGTCCCAGCTACTCGGGAGGCTGAGGCAGGAGAATGGCGTAAACCCGGGAGGCGGAGCTTGCAGTGAGCTGAGATCCGGCCACTGCACTCCAGCCCGGGCGAGAGAGCGAGACTCCGTCTCAAAAAAAAAAAAAAAAAAAAGAGGTAAAGGTCCAGTTAATTAACATCCCATAGCAATGACCTTGCCTGTCACAGGACCAAGAGCAGCACTATAGCAATGCTACTGACACTCCTCTCTCACCTTTCCACTGCTCATAAGGGACACTTCAACAGACTAATGATGTCCAACTCCATCGTGTGGCATTCTTTCCACTTGACAAACACTCGTGCTGTTTCAACTTATTTACTTAAAGATGCATACTCGAAAGCAGAGAAAGGCAGTGTAACCTGTAGTCTATATACTTAATTTTATCCATTTCAATTATTCATTACTATAAATCCACCTCAATGAACTGTGAGCTTGAGAAGCCCTACCAATACTTGTAATTTAAAGTCAGTTGAAAGTTCAAAAACAGAAAAATGTCATCCTCAAGCAAAACCCAGTAATTTTCTTTGTTTGACTTACCGAGTATTTAACTTCCAAGTACTCAGATTTTTCTGGAACATCAGGTATCTCAAAAGCATAGTTCTTTTCCACTGGCTGGGTAAGCAGATATTTTAAAAAATCCTTAAGACAAAAACTTTTCACAAACTAACCAGTATTACACATACAATACATGCTCTTGTATTTAATCATCAAGAATTCTTATGGAACACAAAGGTAAATAAAGCCAAAAAGGTACCCTTTCCTCTTTCAATTGGAACTAAAACGACGAGTGTCAAAATGCTAAAAGGACTCATCTTGGACACTACAGAACTCAGAAATATTTGCATTCAAGAGGGGCAATAAAAGATTAAAATTTTTTACAATGTTAATGCATTAAATGATTTGCTACTATTTGATATTAAGCAACTCCATCTTGCTAGAATAATAATTAGCATTATAATTATAGTTTATATTTACTGAGTGTTGGCTATCTGGCAAGGACTGTTGTAATGATCTAATATGAATTAATGAATTTAACCCTTTCGGGAACTGTTGAAAGAGGGCCCTATTTCTCAGATGAAGAAACAGGCACAAAGAAGTCATTCAGCTGGGCGCGGTGGTTCACGCCTGTAATCCCAGCACTTTGGGAGGCTGAGGCGGGCGGATCACTTGAGGTCAGGAATTCAAGACCAGCCTGGCCAACATGGTGAAACCCCATCTTTACTAAAAATACAAAAAAAAATTAGCCGAGCACTGTGGCATGTGCCTGTAATCCCAGCTACTCAGGAGGCTGAGGCAGGAGAATTGCTTAAACCAGGGAGGTGGAGGTTGCAGTGAGCCAAGATCGCACCACTGCACTCCAGCCTGGGCAACAGAGCAAGACTCCATCAAAAAAAAAAAAAAAAAGTCATTTGGCACTTGTCCAAGTTACACGCTATTAAACAGTAGGGCTAGGACTTAAAGCACAAGCAGTCTGGCCTCAGCACCTATGCTCTTCACCAGTATATCACAATTGCTTCTAGAATTGTAAAGACTTGACCCATCAGCCACAATTCAAAACTCAAATAGTTAATACTGTTAGTCTTATCTTCAGTAACTCAACCCTCCCTGTGATCATTATTAATAGCCAGTATTTTGAGCAGGCTATAGCCCCCACAATTATGGCCAAAGGCATCAATATCTCACTAAAATCAGGACAATTTATCATAACTAGCAAATGAACCGGAGATTTTCATTCTATCAGACTGTATCACAGTCCCTGATTTTTAAAAATAAAACCTTACTTAACTTTCTAACCAAAACATCTTTTTTTTTTTTTGAGACGGAGTCTCGCTCTGTAGCCCAGGCTGGAGTGCAGTGGCCGGATCTCAGCTCACTGCAAGCTCCGCCTCCCGGGTTCACGCCATTCTCCGGCCTCAGCCTCCCGAGTAGCTGGGACTACAGGCGTCCGCCACCTCGCCCGGCTAGTTTTTTGTATTTCTTAGTAGAGACGGGGTTTCACCGTGTTAGCCAGGATGGTCTCGATCTCCTGACCTCGTGATCCGCCCGTCTCGGCCTCCCAAAGTGCTGGGATTACAGGCTTGAGCCACCGCGCCCGGCCCCAAAACATCTTGGCAACAACTAATATAAACGAGATCATAGCAGTTTCTTCTCCACTTGGGAATGAGAGCACAAGACATGTTACAAGCACCAGAGGCAATTAATTTGCTATGGATTATCTTTCTATTCAAACTAATAAACATTATTTTATAAGCAGTTTAAAGAGAAAGAAAAAATATTTTTGCAAATCTAATATACTGTTTTTACATTCATACCTATGAAATTTCCATTCAATAAATTATAGCCACACAGAAGGCATTTTACACAAAGAAAATATACAATAACTATTTGCTATATCAGAAAATAAACAACAAACACAGTTGGAAAAAAACATCCCCAAATACAAACCTTAGACTTGAACTTCATAATTTTATATTTTGTTGCTATTTTCTCATCAAATTCCTCATAAACATCCTTCATTGAAACTGGAGTTCCTGTTTCTTTCCCCGTATTTAGATCAATTTTCTGTTATCCCAGAGAGGGGGACAGAGGGGAAAAAAGCATCTATACATAAATGATCTTCTCAACCACCAAAAACCCACGTCTATATCAATTTTCATCCTCACCCACTTAAACATTTAATAGCAGTCTTACAGATAAGTTCAAAGATACAAACAGACCCAAAAAATGTACTAAACCAAATGCCCAATTCCTCCCAATGGGATAATAAAAACAAATCAGCAATAAAGATGATCAAGTCTACAAAATGGAAGAATAAGTATTGTAAATCCTGACCAAGAGACTCCACAGTTCAATTGACATGGGGAGGGGCGGAGAGGGAAATGGGGATGTTAAGTCCCAATAAAAAAGGAGAAGCAGACCGAGCATGGTGGCTCACGTCTGTAATCCCAGCACTTTGGGAGGCTGAGGCAGGTGGGTCACTCGAGGTCAGGAGTTTGAGAGCAGCCTGACCAACATGGTGAAACCCTGTCTCTACTAAAAATACAAAAATTAGCTCAGCGTGGTGGCGGGCACCTGTAATCCCAGCTACTCGGGAGGCTGAGGCAGAAAAACTATTTGAACCCAGAAGGCAGAGGTTGCAGTGAGCTGAGATTGTGCCATTGCACTCCAGCCTGGGCGACAGGACTAGGCTCCATCTCAAAAAAAACAAAAAAAAAAAAACAAAACAAAACAAAAAGGAGAAGCAAATAGAATTGAACTTGTTAATAAATGGCAATGGCGGGAATATCACTGCTGTCTATGCAGCAAAACCATGAAAACTGGGCCAAATGCCATGTCACATTTTAGAACCTTATAGTTCCAACCCTGATTATCATGGAAATGAGGAGTGAGGGAAAGAAAGCATTATATACTAAAACTCAGAAGCTTTTATACTCTAACAAGTTGAAAAACTGAGTTCTACTTTAATTTTTCTACTTTTCCCAACCTCTAATAGAATTGCTGACCATCAGTGGTCACTCGGCGAGCAGCAAGAAAGAAGCATCAGGATTGTAGAGAATTTGTAGCCCTATTGAAAGATAGAGAGCTGGTTGCAAAACACAGAATGTGTGGCAGATTCAACTATTGAGAACTAAAAGCTAATCACTAATGTTTACCATTTCACGGGGAAGGAAGTAAAGCGTTCGCTCGATATTTTTCACCATGACACAACAACTCACATGGGTCTCAGCTGATTCAATCCAAACTTTGCCAAACAGAAATACCACACCTGAAATAAGTGAAAATCACGAGAAAAGAAACATTTCAATTTCACCTAATTAAAGGAGCAATATAGAGGCTCACTGAATGTGTCCACACATTTATACCTTCATGGTAACTCATTTTGACAGCAAATATATCCATTTCCCCACTCCCCAAGACCAGTTCTTTACTCAGTACTGACGCCATACTACACTAACACAATGGTACAATGTATGACCACTGGGAGGACAGGGGACAGAATGATTCTCTAACTTGGCATAAACACCTTCCCCACAATCAGGATTATACAGATTAAGAGAAAGAAAACAGGCCGAGCATGGTGGCTCATGCCTGTAATCCCAGCACTTTGGAAGGCCAAGGTGGGCGGATCACTTGAGCTCAGGAGTTTGAGACCAGCCTGGTCAACACAGCAAAACCCTGTCTCAAAAAAAAAAAAAAAAAAGAGAAACAAACACAAGGATTTTTCAACAAATCTCATAATTAAGCCTCTTGTGAGAACTTACAGATCTGAGAATATATTTATAATGTTTTAGCACTTGTATTTACCTATGAAAACCAATATTCATGTATCAGGATAACTAGTGCATCAGTGTTTTTCTATATGTAAAACTGTGTTTAGGAAAAACATAATTTATCTCATATTTCTTATTCCATATAATAATAAATATCTCACAATAGGGACTACTATTTCACCTTTTCTACCTCACAGCTACTTAGGATGTCTAACTAGGTAGTGTTTAGAATGTTCCTTTCTATTCTATTTCAGTTTAACAAATGGTTTAGTAACCAAATCAGTAGATGCTCTCCTTTTGAGATCCCTAAGGAATGAATACCATAAAGTAAAACCATGCCTTTTAAGACATCAAATCACTGTTTATGAAAATTGGCCACTAAGAACAGACTGCAAACATTTGTTAGTCAACCCAGGAGATGGTCACTGTGCAAAATCCTGGGCTCTATGAATAATTAGACAGCAGTAATCAACAAAGCCACTCAACACAGCCATTTATCTGAGACACTAAGAAAATTCTGGCACATGCAAAGGCCAATTACCCCAGTTTCAAAGACTACTCATCAGTGACTCCTTTTGTCACACATCCTGGTAGAAATAAGACGATCTAAGAATTTTCATTTCTGTAGATGATTAAAATTCTTTTTTTTAATTATACTTTAAGGTCTAGGGTACATGTGCACAACGCACAGGTTTGTTACATATGTATACTTGTGCCATGTTGGTGTGCTGCACCCATAGATGATTAAAATTCCTACAAGAGTTCTGAGACTTTCAGCTTAGGGGGGTAACAGGGAGGGTAGATGGGGAGGGAGAGGGAAGGAAGGACTATGGGAACATTAAAAAAGAAAAAATATCACAGTAACTCAGAAAATTAAAAGTCATCCTCACAACAGTTAAAGATGGAAAAACAAAATGCCATGCAAAGAAAAATAAAGACCCTAATATTGGATTCAAAGATTCAAATAGCTCATTTTACAGTCAAACTAATATCACACTTCATGCAACACATTTGACACTGTTTATGCCTCATTTGCCACAAAAAAGATCATGGTAAACAAAGATTACATTCCCCCTAAAGTTACTAGCTGAAACCAGGTGCAGTCAGGATTATTCAACCTTGAAAAAGTCATAATGAAGACAGGATATCTTCCCATATGCAAAGAGTAAGATTCTTTTCATAATTATGGAGCATTCAGCAACAACTGACTGACTTAGAATCTGTTAGAAAGTGAGAAACAATAACAGGGTATTTTGGAGTGCTTCATTTTTATTAGCAGCATTGATTTCACCAAAGCTCAGTGATCATTACCTGCTATCACAATGAAAGTGTTCAACCCTCTAAGATTAAAGGAGTTTTTTTAAGCTATCTAATTTAACCCATTGGCATCAATAACAGAGAAGGATGTGCCACAGGAGAGAACACAACTTGAGAAGTACCAGGGAACCAGAACAGCAGAGTGGACTGAGGGTGAGAAGCCCAAGCTTCTACCACTAAAGAGCTATTATATTTTTTGGAGCCTCAGTTTCTTAAGTGCATAACTAGACTAGCTGATCTCTGAGGCCTTCTCCAGCACCAGAAATTTCATTCTGCCTTAGCATTTGCATGACAGATCAATAAGAAATTAGTATCTCTTTCAATTGCAAAATATTTTCCAATATTGGTTGAAAAAGCCCATCCATGACTATGTTCAGTACCAGGAACTCAACACCACCATATATCATAAACTGGTTGCTTTGCAAATATAGCTGTGCTTCAATGCTTCAATCTTCTAACACTTGTCACTACAGACCAGCACTAGTTGAAATAAATTTCTGTGATGATGGAATTGTTGTTTCTGAGCCATCCAATATGGTAGCTATTAGCCACAGTTGCTATTGAGCACCTGAAATGTGGCTAGTGACCAAGAAAATAAATGTTAATTTGTATTGCATTTTAATTTATTTAAATTTAAAGAGCTACAGGTGGTTGGTGGTTACCACAGTGGACAATGCAGCTCTAGATCCTTACCCTGCAAAACAATACTCTGTTTACTAAGAGTATCAACTAGTAAACAAAATGTAGAAATAACCAACTCATTTTCACATAAGAAAGAAGGTTGTTGCTTCTTAAGGTTCTAATCCGTGGCAATTGACGCTGGCAATATGAAGCTTTATGGGTGTATTTACTTCATGGGGTTGTAGGGGAGTGGGGAACCATTCACTTTTGTGTTATGCATTCTCATACCCCACAAAGCTACAAAGCTTTAAGATGCAAACTCAGTAATAGTAGCAAATACAACATTAGTCTCTGACATTTTTCACCTGCATCTACAGGACTGTCAGTCACTGTGCAGTTTATTTCAACAACTATTTATTAAACACCTACTATGTGCAAGGCATTGTTGCTGGATGCTGGAAATAAAAGATCCCAGCCCTCCAGGAGCTTACAGGCTTTGTGGCAAAGAAAAACACAGACTCAGATCATTTCAAAATAATAGGACAAATGCTACAGTGGGAAAGGCTATGATGTAGTCACAAGGAGAAAGTGCTCCTAGACCCGTCTGGAAGTTTAGGTAAACTCCCAGAAGATAACATCTGGGCTGAATTTTAAAGAATCAGTCAAATGAGGGCATTCCAATCAGACAAAAAATAATGAGTAAAGGAACACAGGTATAAAGAGTAGCAAAGTATATACAGAGAACTATTTCTAGGGAACAAAATTCATAGACAGCAGGCATCAGAAGCCTTGCTAAGGAGTTTGGACTTTATGTTGTACGCAGTAGCCACCGAGGATTTTTTTTAATGAGGAAATGACATGGTCAGAATTGCCCTTCTGATCAGTCCCTCTAGCAATGATGTGGAGGACGATAGCTAGGAGATCAATTAGGAGGCTGGTGCAATTGTTTCAGTGGGCAAGAAGCGATCGGGGTAGCAGATATGAGGAGAAAGAGAAGGTAAGTTGTCCATTTTCGGCAGAGAAAACTAACCAGACTTGGAAAGGGAAATGAAGAAGAGCAGGGAATCAAGGATGGCTCCCAGGTTTCTAGTTTTGATGGGACCATTAACCAAGATAGGGAATGAAATACAGCATTAAGCAGATGCAGCAAAACACAGGGAGTAATACTGGGATAGCCAGGCCACTGTGCTGCCCAGCTCCAGGTAATACCAGTCACACTGCTGTGCTCCAGGAAGGTCATGTGAAAATGGTATTCCCTGAGGTTGTACAATGGGGCAGCCCTGGGTTTCAGCAATGGATGGGAAATCATCTGCTCAGTCTCATGTAATCACACTTGCCAGCCTTCCAACAGAGTAACAAAGTAGTCAAAGAGGTGAGGGGATCTAATCAAATCATTTTGTCCTAAAGTAGGTTAAAATATCATTTCTAAAATTGATTATATCTTTTCCTAAGAAACTAACACATGGCAGTGTGCTACTCAAGTGGCTCAAGAGTTCATATATATTTGATAAGCAGAAGCATATTAATGTTTCTGACCGTCCCCACCCCTGCCAGAGATCATTAACATTTTTCCAGTTAAAGTCAATGCCTGATTATCTCTAAGGTAAATGTGGCCTTCAATTTACTCATACGCTTGCTTTGCTGACATCTAGGTACTCCCTCTCTTTTCACTAGATACAGCCTCCAGGAAACCGCTTTGAAAAATACACTATTTGCATGTACCACAGATCCAAAAAAGGATCTATATAAAGACAACTCTGTTTAAGAGTGCCTACTGTATTTAACATTAATCCGACAGATCTTGCAATGCACAGTCCCACAATGAAGATGGGCTCAAAGAGCCACAATGAACAGCCTCTGAGCTTTTTGTGAGTCAAGAATTTACAGTATTAGCTCATTAGGATGACCTAAAAATCATCCTTGATTCCTCCTTTCTGTCACCTCCCCCATCCAATCCATTAACAAGTTTGTGTCAAAAGACATGTCAAATGCCTTTACTTCTCTCCTCTCCAGCCACCAGGGTCCAAGTAACTAGCAGCCCTGCCCTGGACTGACTGATCTCCAGGGCTTCCACACTTCCCCATTACCCCACACCAGCCTATCCCTCCACGTGTGTGTGCACACGTACACACAAACCACTGCTCCTGTTAAAATGTAAGCCCAATTATGTGACTACCACCCCCTGTACTTAAAACCCTCCAAATGCCTCCCCATTGCTCTTAGAAGAGTCAAACTCCTTAGAGGTTTTCAGAGTCCTATATTATCTGGCCTTTGTCTTTATCTCCAGCTTCATTGTATATCAATCTTGTCACTTGATTACTATGCTACAACCACACAGGCCTCTTCCTTCCTCCCTCTAGGCCTTGCTAGTACTGGCTCGTTAAGCTGAAATGCCCTTTTATCAGCTCTGCAAATACCTCAAATCTCAGTCCAGTGGTCATTTCCTCAGACAGCCTCCCCTGGCCATTGCCCAACTAATTTTCTTTACATCATTTATCAATTTATCTCATTTACTGCTAATGTGCCCCCACCCACTGCCACCCTCCTAGAACATAAGCTCCATTATAGTGCAGGGAATTTGTCCAGCTTATTCATCCCATCTCAGTGCCTAGCACACAATAGGCATTGAAATTTGCTGAAGAAACACACAAATTAATGACTGATTCCCTTTAAATTAAAGTGCATTCCTGTAACTTCAGATACATCAATAGTGAACTACAAACACACATTCCAAAACCATATGTAACTGATGTTTGGAATAAGCATCTTTAAGGATTATTCACACCATAGCTCCTCTCCATCAGGGTGGCGCATTCACTTTACAATGAATGAATGTCACTCTCTTACAATACATGTTAAGTGAGGGCAGGGCCTGACCTGAGCTAATTACAACCACTCAAGTATTTAAGGGACGAAGGAAAAAAAAAAAAACAGAAATAAATTGATTAAATAAAAAGACAACACAAAAAGAAACAAAAAATAAAATATTTAAGGGAAAGGTCCTACTCTGAGTTAAAGGCATACAGTTAACCTTATGTATGATTACCTGGTTGGTTGTACTGATCTTCATAAGCATCCAACCAATAAAAGTGGAATACTTGTTCCTCATCTGCCCCTTTTACCAATGGGAGTTGACTGGAATCCACTTGAACTTCTTGCACTGAGAAACTGCTATCACCTTCTTGATCAATGTCCCAACAAGAGACATCTGGGAGAAATCTTCCTCTGCAGAAATCACATTTTCAAAAACCTTTCAAAATCCAACAGAAAAATTGTAGTCCTATTTGCCAGAAAAGTCATAAAATGCTCTTACAAGTCAGACATGGTCCCTTTCCCAGAATCCGCCTCTTGTTTCACTTCCTCTGCTGGCTCACTCTCTTGGTCCCAAGCCTTGGCAGCCATAGGCTCCAGGTGCACCTCTTCAGTTTCCATGGGCTCATCAAAGTCACCATCTTCAAACTCCATTGCCCCTGACTCCTGCTCTTCTTCTGTACTCTCGACCTGTATAGGCTCGCCTGTAGGCATCATCACACATTCTTATCATGTGCTAGTGCCATGACACAAAGGCACACAAAGGTGCACAAAGGCTTATCCAACACTAAAATAGCAGCCTGTCCCTTTTCTATACTATGTTTGCATTTCTCTTTAATCTCCAAATTGGGTTTTTTAACTTTTACTGAAATTTTTATGAATTCAAATCTTCACATTTAAACTTGCCATCACAATACCTTCAAAATTTCTTCTACCTCCTCCATCATGGGGCCTCCATCTTTGACAGAAACCACTCAACACTCTTGCAATTCTTGCCTGACATCACACTTACCAGCAAATTCAGCACGTTTAAGAGGAACAGGAGTTAATGGAGGCTCCTTTCTGGAGACAGGGGAAGCAATTTTTCCTGAAGGAACTGCCTGTAAACGTTTTTAAATATTTAGTCAGTTAGACCTACATACTAAAAATATGCAACTGTCCTACCCTGACCAAAGATAATGACAGTTCCCTTTTATAAAAAGATTTTATGTATTATTAATGTAACAGCTTCAATTATTTTACTGTTACCTAGGTTTACAAAAAAATACTTGCTTCTGGGAGGAAAATTATTGCATTTACCACAGTTGTAATACCTATAATAAACACACACTAGTTACTGCAAATTTACTATGAAAAAGGCAGGCACATGCTATTTTTGAAATACATGAAACTATAAATTGAATGGGAGTCCTAATTTAAAACAAAAATCAAAAACAAATTTAAAGGTATTTCCCTCATATAGAAAAGCAACAAAATAAGCTTAAAGCAATCCTATAAATCAAGATTGAAGGTATCTCTACACACTTTACCGTGGAGGTGTGCACAGAAAAAGGATTCGGTGAAGCTCCAATGAATCTTTTCTTCTTCAGTATCGTTACAGGTGGTGGAGTTATTTGAGGTGTCTAAAAGGAAACGTAAGACATATTCACTGCCATGCTTGGTTTACCACAGACAGAAAAAGTATACTTCTTCACTCATTGAAGCCCAATAAGCAAAGCTTTCTTTTCTTTACCTTCCCCCCTCCCCATTCCCATCTATGTGCATGTACTGTGGTTACTATAGCAACGATACTATAGAAATCACAAGAAAACTAAAATAGATATTAAATCTACCCCTCCCCAATTTTTTCTTTTTAAAATTTAGCATACTTTCACTTACCCTTTGAGAATATTACATTTAAAAATTGTCAAGACAGAACTACATGGCAGTGTTGTTAAGTCATTTTAATTAATGGTCACTTCAAAAGAAGTACACTTCTAAATGAGAGCTTAGTCTTTATGGGAAATGGCCAAATTTCAAATTCACGATGCAGCTAATCCTGTTTGAGTTCTATCAGGGATAGTTCACTCACTCTTCCTTCATTTCCACTCAGAATTCAAGACAAGGCTCTTATACCTGATTGTGCAGATTGACAGGCTTCAATCTATTTAGGGAACATACACCACAGCAACTGAACACAGCAGTGAGCACTCACAGAACTGACTCCTGGGTATATTCCTACTACTTCAAACACACACCCACACATCCCTATCTACATAATCACACAGCTCTAACACCTGGAAATACTCACCTAAAATGGTGGGATAAAACCAACCTGAAGGGGGTTTCTTTGTATTTTGGTGGGGGTTTTTTGTTGGTGTCCTTACATTTTTAAAAATTCTGGCAACAGGCCGGTGCGGTGGCTCACGCCTGTAATCCCAGCACTTTGGGAGGCCAAGACAGGCAGATCATGAAGTAAGGAGTTCGAGACCAGCCTGGCCAACATAGTGAAACCCAGTCTCCACTAAAAATACAAAATATTAGCTGGGCATGGTGGCAGGTGCCTATAATCCTAGCTACTGGGGAGGCTGAGGCAGGAGAATCAGGGAAGCAGAACCCGGGAATCGGAGGTTGCAACAAGCCAAGATCACACCACTGCACACCAGCCTGGGCGACAGTGCGAGACTCCATCTCAAAAAAAAAAAAAAAAATTCTGGCAATAGTCTGTTTTGTATAATTACTAGAGTGTTTCTTCAGTCTATATCCCCTGCATATTTTACAACTCCTGGCGATTCATTTACCTCAGTGTTAAGATCCTGTAGAATGTCACCTAGCAGATCATCCTTGGACAAGTCTACAGCTTTCTGGAAATGATAAAGAAAGGTAACATGAGAAAGCCTTGCACTTAAATTTCTCACCAAAACTACACACGTGTACGAAAGGAAGAACCTAACCAGTTAGTCCTTGCCTCTTCATTCCTCACTCTGAGTGTTCATCTACATTCACAGATTTTAACAACCACCTGTCTATATATCATTCCTACATCTATAGCTCCCGTTCTCTACTTTCACCCTTATTCCATGATCTTCCTGCTACTCACTAAAATTAAACACACTCTCAATTCAGCTTTTCTGTTCAATTTTCTTTTCCGTTTCCCAAGTTTCAATCAGTGAGGTACCTTAATTCACTTAGAAATCTACATCCAACTTAGTGAGTGAAATTGGAGAAATGTTACTCAAATATATACAGAGCACCTATTATCTGTATAATCAAATATTAAATTCACCTCACAAAGGAAAATACAAAAGATAAGGAAACCATGAAACTCACATCTGCAGTTTTCTTTCCAGCACAAGCAATGAACATTGACTTAATATTGTTCGGTTTTGTCACTGCGGGCTTCTTTACATTCCTCTTGTCTTTGTTGCGTGCTTTACCATCTTTTCCTATTGGAATATGAATTATTTAGAAACATGCATCAGCAAAAATCAAAATGGAAAACTAAAAGCCTAGTCACTTGATCTCTATCGGGAAGAAAAATGTTAAGAATTAAAAATACATTACGCCTGTAATCCCAGCACTTTGGGGCGCCGAGGTGGGCGGATCACGAGATCAGGAGATCGAGACCATCCTAACACGGTGAAACCCCATCTCTACTTAAAAAAAAACAACAAAAAAATTAGCTGGGCGTGGTGGCAGGCACCTGTAGTCCCAGCTACTCAGGAGGCTGAGGCAGGAGAATGGCGTGAACCCGGAAGGTGGAGCTTGCAGTGAGCTGAGATCGCACCACTGCACTCTAGCCTGGGTGACACAGAGAGACTCCGTCTCAAAAAAAATTAAAAAAAAACATACAAAACTATGAGATTTTATACAAGATATGTAGGAAAAAATATTTTAAATGAGTTTAATTCAAGAAAACTTGGGCTAAATGTTTTTATAGAAACTAATGAAATACCAGTTAAATATTAGCACGACTTAAGTGTGACTGCTTAATTGCTATTGTTAATATGAATAAAAAGCTTTTTAAAAAAGTGAGAATTTGGGGTTTTTTGTTTTCCCCACAGAAATAAAAAGATAAAGCTAATCTTGAACCAAGAAATTAGCCTAGTAGCCTTCATGAGATCATCTCTTTAGCGGTATACTGAATCTGATAGGAAAAAATTTAACTATGAAGAAATGGGATTACCAATTATGACATGGTGGCATCCTAATTTCTATTTTATGAGAAACAGCAACCAGAAACACAGTATGTCATACCAACACAAAACAGCACAGAGACATCTATCTGCTCATTAAAGAAGAATTTTTGCCGGCCGGGTGCAGTGGCTCACGCCTGTAATCCCAACACTTTAAAAGACCAAGGCGGGCAGATCAGGAAATCCATACTATCCTGGTCAATATGGTGAAACCCCGTCTCTACTAAAATACAAAAAATTAGCCAGGCGTGGTGCGGCATGCCTGTAGTCCCAGCTACTCGAGAGGATGAGGCAGGGAAATCACTTGAACCCAGGAGGTGAGATTGCAGTGAGCCAGAATCGCACCACTGCACTCCAGCCTGGCAACAGAGCAAGACTCCGTCTCAAAAAAACAAACAAACAAAACTTTTGCCATGTTTTCTCTTATGGCCATGTGTAAATCACCTATAAACTTCTCTAATACCGTCAATTTTACTCTCGCTTTCTGATTCATCCCAGAATAGTCTTGATCTCAAAACAAGCTGACAATGAATAATTGAAAGAATGTGGTGAGCCAGGCATGGTGGCTCACACCTGTAATCCCAGCACTTTGGGAGGCCGAGGCAGGCAGATCACGAGGTCAGGAGATCAAGACCAGCCTGACCAACATGCTGAAACCCTGTCTCTACTAAAAGTACAAAAATTAGCCAGGGATGGTGGCGTGTGCCTGTAATCCCAGCTACTCAGAAGGCTGGGGCAGGAGAATCGCTTGAACCTGTGAGGCAGAGGTTGCAGTGGGCCAAGATCACGCCATTGCACTCCAGCGCTCCAGCCTGGGTGACAGAGCAAGACTCCGTCTCAAAATAAAAAATAAAAAATAAAAAAAAAGAATGTGGTAGTGGCATACAAATAGACCAAATGAAACAGAACATAAAGTCCAGAATAAGACCCAATTACTTATGGAAATTTAATATATAATGAAGGTGGCATCCCATATCACTAAGGAAAAGATGGACTTTATTAAGTAGTGTTGGCTAGCCATTTGTAAAGAAGTAAACCAGTATAAATACCAAATGGATCACAAATCAAAATTTTTAAAAATGAAACTTTACAAAAACCTTTTAAAAAGCAATTCCTTTGCAATCTGGGTGCAGTGAAACTCTTTCTATGACTCAGAATCCACTTGCAAGAAAAAAATGATAAATTCAATTGCACCAGAATTGGTGTAAAAAGAAAAACCAAGAAAAAAGAAAACCAAGTTAAACAAAAATGAATAAAAATTTTTGCAATATGTATCACAGATAAAGGACCAATTTTCCTGACAAAGAACTTTTAAAAAATTAAAAGATAAAAAGCCCAAAAGTAAAGCAGGCAGTAAACACAAACATATATAAATAGTTATGTTTTATGAAAAGATGATCAATTTCATATGTAAAAGAAATGCAGATGAGGCTGGGCACGGTGGCTCACACCGGTAATCCCAACACTTTGGGAGGCCACGAGGCGGGCGGATCACGAGGTCAGGAGTTCAAGACCAGCCTGGCCAACACATAGTGAAACCCTATCTCTACTAAAAATACAAAAAGTAGCCAAGCATGGTGGCACACACCTGTAGTCACCGCTACTCCGGAGGCTGAGGCGGAGAATTGCTTGAACCCAGGTGGTGGAGGTTGCAGTGACCTGAGACCGCACCACTGCACTCCTGCCTGGGTGACAAAGTGAGACTCAGTCTCAAAAAAAAAAAAAAAAAAAAAAAAAAGCAAATGAAAACCACACTGAAATGCCACTTCTCACATATCAGAGTGGCGAAAATTCAAAAGCTTGAAAACACTCTGTTAGTAAGGCTGTAGGGAAACAGACATTCATACATTGTTCATGAAAGTGTAAAATGGGATAAGTCCTATGAAGAATTAGGCAATAGCTAGTAAAATTTTATGTGTAGTGGGCTGGGCATCGTGGCTCACACCTGTAATCCCAGCACTTTGGGAGGCCGAGGCGGGTGGATCACCTCAGGACAGGAGTTTGAGACCAGCCTGGCAAACATGGTGAAACCCCATCTCTACTAAAAATGCAAAAATTAACCGGGTGTTGTGGCGGGCACCTGTAATCTCAGCTACTCAGGAGGCTGAGGCAGAAGAATCACTTGAACCCAGGAGGCAGAGGTTGCAGCGAGCCGAGATCGCGACATCGTACTCCAGCTTAGGCAACAAGAGCAAAGCTCCATCTCAAAAAAAAAAAAAAATTACGTGAAGCTACTCTTTGAGCCAGCAATCTCACTTCTGGGAATTTTTTCTGAGGAAAACACCATATGCACAGAGTTATTGGATGTGGCATTATAATAGCAAATTACTCAAAATAATCTAAATGTCCTTCCAAGGAAACCATTGAATAAACTATGGTGCAATCCCTATCATGGAATACTATGCAGCTACACAGAAATAAATAATTAAAAGCAAGCTCTCTATGTTCTAATATGGGGTGATTTTCAAGACATCTTGCTACGTGAAAAAAGCAAAGTACAAAACCCCTATAACATTATCTTTTGTTTAAGAAAGAGAAGGGGCTGGACACCGTGGCTCATGCCTGTAATCCCAACACTTTCTGAGGGCAAAGTGGGCAGACTGCTTTAGCCCAGGAGTTTGAGACCAGCCTGGGTAACATGGCGAAACTCTGTCTCTACTAAAAATTCCAAAAATTAGCCGAGCGTGGGAGGATGCGCCTGTAGTCCTGGCTACTCGCGACACTAAGGGAGGAGGATAGCTTAAGCCCAGGAGGCAGAGGCTGCAGTGAGCTGAGATCACACCACTGCACTCCATCCTGAAGGGCAGAGAAAGAATCTGTCTCAAAAAAAAAAAGAAAGAAAAGGAAATAAAAATATATATACACACCAGCGTGGTGGCTCACACCTGTAATTCCAGCACTTTGGGAGACCGAGGCGGGCAGATCACGAGGTCAGGAGTTCGAGACCAGCCTAACCAACATGGTGAAACCCCATTTCTACTAAAATACAAAAATTAGCCAGGCGTGGTGGTGCATGCCTGTAATCCCAGCTACTCAGGAGGGTGAGGCAGGAGAATCACTTGAACCCGGGAGGCAGAGGTTGCAGTGAGCCAAGAAGGGACCACTGTACTTCAGCCTGGGTGACAGAGCGAGACTCCATCTCAAAAAAAAAAAAAAAACAACAAGAACAACATACACAATTTCACTCCTGGATTAGTACCCTAAAAAATTGAAAGCAGGCATTCAAACAAAAACTAGTACATAAATGTTCATAGTAGCACTACGTACAATAGCCAAAAGGTAGAAACAATCCAAATGTCCATCAACTAATGAATAAACAAAACATAGTACATCCACACAGAATATTACTTAGCAATAAAAAGGAATGAAGTACTGATACATGCTATAACGTACTTGAAAATCTTCTAAGTCAAAGAAGCCAGACACAAAAGATCAAATATTGCATGATTCATTTATATGAAATATAAAATGTCCAGAATACGCAAATCCATAAAGATAGAAAGCAGATTAATGGTTGTCAGGCTCTGGGGGAAGAGAGATTGGGGAGTGACTGCTAATGGATATGGGGCTTCCATTTTAGATGATGAAAATGTTCTGGAACAAGATGATGGTGATGGTTGCAAACACTGTGAATATACTAAATGTCACTCATGGTAAATTTTATGTTACGCGTATTTTACCATAGTTTAAAAAAAAGTATTTCCATGGGCCTAATATTGTGAAAAGGTTTGTAGGACATTTGTGAAAAATGTGAGACAGGAGATCTGTATCATCTGGAGTACTTTGAAAACAGAATATAATAGTCAAAATGTTTAGTATATAAAATTCAGGTCTTGACAGTGTATGAACAGAGGAGGTCAACAGAGGTTTGAATAGCAAGGAAGGCTTCATGAGAGGGCTTTAATCTTACCATTGTAGGTTAGTAGGATTTAGACAGAAGGATAAAAAGATGAATACAAGTAAACATTTGAGGTGGAATTCTTCCACAGTTTAGTGTTTCTGTTTTGTTTTATTGCATTTTCCTGCTGATTTTTCTTCATTGGGACTTGGTTGATATTTTTCTTTGTGGTTTTGTTTTGTTTTGTTTTGTCCTGTTACCCAGGCTGGAGTGCAGTAGCACGATCTTGGCTCACTGCAACCTCTGCCTCCCGGGTTGAAGAGATCAAGAGATTCTCCTGCCTCAGCCTCCCAAGTAGCTGGGATTACAGACGCCCACGACCACGTCCGACTAATTTTTCTATTTTTAGTTGAGACGGGGTTTCACCATATTGGCCAGGCTGGTCTTGAACTCCTGACTTCAGGTGATCTGCCCCACCTCAGCCTCCCAAAGTGCTGGGATTACAGACGTGAGCTGCCGCACCCGGCCATTTTTCTGTTTGAAAACATGCCAGGAATTAGATCCACACCATAAAGCTTTGACTTTTTACTTCTAAGCAAAACTCAGTAATTTCTTGTAAGTCTTTAAAGTGCGTTGCAGAAGTCCATTTTCCTTCCTAGGATCTTGTGACCTTTACTGGGCTCCTAGAAAGGGACACTGAAACAGTGGGGACTTGTGGGTGAATGGTGGTGGCAAAGCACGAAATAAAAATTTCTAAGACTAGCTCTTTTCCGGATCAAATCATTCTTTTCACTAACGTATTACTCGGAAGAGATAATATGATGACTATGGAAACACAGAGATGGATTGTTTATTCAACAAAACTACATACTTACTTTGAGTCCACTACCGTGATTAGCACTGAGATTACCAGGACATGAGTCCTTTCTTTGAGAAGCTCACTGTCCAGTCCAACCTCCTAATTTACAGCTGACAAAAACTCAAGTCCAGATAGGTAATGGGATTAGTTCAAGATGACACAGACAATTAACAACAGAACCATAACTCTAACATAGGCCTCCTCAGTTCAGGCAAATGAAAGTGGCACATGAGCTCATTCTCTTCTTCATGGACTCACACAAACTAGAAATACACAATTAGCCACACTGCTACCAAATGGTACCAGTGTAGAAAATTTCCACATTATACAGGTTGGCAGAACCAGGAAGATGGTTCACATATTCTAATTTAACTAATAAATGAATGAAGAATAAAGAACATCACACATAGAAAAAATACACATATGCTTATTTTTTGTAATAAACCAGAAACTAAAAGTTACTGATTTTCATTTTTAAAACATATAAATGTTTTACAATATTCAGAAGTAAAATTAAAAGGATTTTTTAAAACTGAAATTTGAATACAAACAAAAAATGAACCTATGTAGTAAATTAATACAACACACACTAAAGAATTACTTTACATAGCTTCTGAACACTACAGTCTGACTACAGACCCTTAGGATATATACCAAGAACAAATAAAACTGTAGAGAAATCATAAACTTTACTTAGAAAGGTTGTTAGTACAGATAATGATTTAGTGATTCTGACATTATTTTGTGTATATTTTAGAAGACATGGGTTTTCATTGAGGGTGAAGGCAGATACAAATATAGAATTGGGAAGATAAAGAATCCAGTGATGTTAGATTTCAACCAATCAAATATATCCGTATGAACTCATGACATATATATAATTTCCTTGTTCTGTTCACTGAAAGGGCCTAGAAGCCATTACACTCCAACAGCAATGAGCACATCCATCTCCCATATCTGGACACCATTCCTCACTAAAAGGAACCAGGATTCTTGGGAGAAATGGTTGGTTCCACGTCTAGGGCAGGAAGAATACAAGCTAAACCTGGAACATCTTATCCTCTTAGCCCAGAGAGCAAGGAAATGCTCAAAGACTGATGGAGCCATGTCAAAAGAACACAGGAGGTGGCTTAAAGGGGCTCTTACCAGCCAAATCTGGGATAATTTGAACATAAAAAGGAAAAATGATAATAATTGCTGCTGAATTATAACAGTAAATCTTTTAGAAATACATGAGTCTGAAGCAATAATTTTTAAAAGAAGGGAAAGGATCAACAATAGATGCTAAAAGCACTGGGTAAAAATTCATAGGGAAATGGAATATACACATGGTCTCAAATTATCACCCCCTATTTTGCATTAATTACAAAAGGGAGGAAAGTAGCTTTACAAGGAAGAAATCTGACAAATATCATCTTAACCAAAAGATCAAACTTAGTATCAACAACAATGGTACAAGTGACATCATATGCCCCTGATATGAACGATTGGAAGGACAGAATTTTATATTGTAGGTCTTAACAAAAACAAAGCATTTATTTATAAATATTTATTGTTGCCAAAATATTTAACCCAAATCTAAGCACAACGAAGCAGTCAGGTAAAACTCAGATTGTGGGACATTCAACAAAACAAACAGCCTGGTCCCTTTAAAAATCAATGTCATGAAAGACAAAAAGAGGCCAGGGCGGCAGGGGGGAGGGGGGCGGGTGTTGCCGTTCTACATTAAAAAAAGACTATAGAGACATGAAAACTAAAATGGATTCTGCATTTTTTAAAATAGCTTTAAAAGATACTATTGGGCTAATTGGGAAACTTTTAATATAGACAATATATTAGATATCATGATAATGTTATTGTGGTTAAGTAGTCAAGTATCCTTACTCTTAGGAGGTCACTGCTGAAGTTCAAAACGTTCACTGAGCAAAAAGTCTCTGTGTATGTGGTTGGAAGGAGAGAGAAAACTAAGGTGCAAAATGTTATTCTGCAAATGAGGATTCAGACAGTAAAGGGCAAGACAGCACAGATGTTAGGCTTTTGGTCACATATTCTTTTGTTACATATTCGTCGCATTTTTTATTTTTAAAATACTGCTTAAAAATGTAAAAACTATTCTCAGCTCGAGAGCCACACAAAAACAGGCATGATTTCCATTTGGGGTAACAAAAATGTTCTAAAATTGATTGTGGTAATGGCTGCACAACTCTGTGACTATATTAAAAGCCACTGAATTGTACACTTTAAATATGCGAATTGTATAGTATGTGAACTATATCTCAATAAAACTTTTTGTCAAAAACTGGTTGTGAGAGGGCCACAGTTTGCTGACCCCAATCTACCACTTGGTAGTAGAAGACTAATTAACAAACTAAACAAAAAAAATATACTGAAGAGAATTTTCAGTATTCTCATTTTACAGGAACTAAATCAGGCTTGTTTACTCAAAAAAAATTGCCAATGATTGTACAGCTAAGACAATCTGACACATTCATCCATATTATTTTAAATTTCAATTAGACAAAGCAAGCTGATTACTCTAGTTCTAAACCTTGTTATTGTGCTATACAACTGGCAAAGAGCTAAAATTCTAAGTACATCACTTCAGTAGGAATTAAAAGAGATCAATTACTGTTGCAGCCCTCAAAATCAGCAAGTTTTAAATTACCATAGGATTGAAAACTTTAAAACAAGTAAAGACCACACTACTTGGATAATAGAGACATGAAACTTCATTTCTCGGTGTTGTTACTGCTTTTTATCTTTAATTTTCCACATAACCATACTTCTCTTCATATTAGAACATATTCCATACCTAATAACAATGGTAGTTAGGTCCTTCTCTCAAACGTAAACTATCAGAGTACCAAGTCATCTCTAATTTTAGAGAATTCTTTAAATCTCAAAACAACATCCTGAAAAACAAAAAGTAGGTACCTTTCTCACCAGCATCAAGGGCATCATCTTCAAGGTCATCATCAAAAATCTCTCGGCCATCTTCCACATAACCAATACCATCTGCAGGGACAAAATTTAATACTGGGATCAAACTTCTAAAAGTGGCCAATAATATTTTAGCCATGACCAAAAAAACCTTTTATACCTGCTCAGATGTTTTCCTGGCCTGTGCTATTTTTAAGTGCAGCAGAATTCTGTTCACACAGGTGTCAGACAATGCACAGCATCCACACAGCAGGTGTGGAGTCAAAACCAAATGATATATATTATACCTAGCTAGGTGACCTCAGGAAACGATTTGGCTCATAGGATCAAAGTCTGCCACAACAGGATGCTTTACAGCAGTTTTACTCTACCAGAAGAATAAAAAGAATCAAGATTACCACAAGTCCAGAGAGAGATATCCCAGTCTACAAGGGAAAACTGGCAATATAGCTGAATCCAATTACAGAAGTAGAAACATAAATAGTCACAGGCACAATCTACATGCTCCCTGTGGTCAGCATTCACATGGCCATGAAGTCAGACCCTACCAGTGAGAACCAATGAGCTTTCAGAAGGGGCACAGGACATTAGGACAAGACTTTGTATGGTGCTTTCTCCTGACCAAGTTAATTTTCATACCTAGAACCTCATATATGCCTCACAACAACTCTGGGAGAAGGTAGTTTTCTTATCCCCATGTTACAGATGAAGAATCTGAGGCGCAAAGACATTAAGTGACTTGTCCAAGGTCACAGAATTGGAAAGTAGGAACGATGGATCCTGAACCTGCATTCCTTAATTCCAAGCGCTGTGCATGGGCCCCACAGACAAGGGGCTCCTCCCAATTCTTACACAGCCATTACCTGGAGGATTTATACTACATCCTGAGGTATGTGCCTAGATTCTCCAAAATATCCCCAAATAAACGTCCTGCTATTCTGCTTCCTCATCCTCAAATAATTAAAGGAAAATCCAAACCAAAGGTAAAATCCTAACAGTGCCTTGCATTTGCCCAGGCAAAGCAGCAACTCCACCACATGAGTGCGAATCTACAAGAAGCAACTAACACAGTGCCTAGGAAGCAACATCCCCGCCCCCACCCCCGCCCCACCTACCATCATCCACAATCCAGTCATCATCCTGGCGTGCCTGAACCAGCTTCGAATACTGTTCTTCATCAACTTCTTCATAAACACCTGTGAAGTCCTCGACCTACCATTATACAAGTTTCAGAAAAAAAGCTTCAAATAGAGTGAAAGCGTTAAACAATTCTGATGAAAAAATTGTCAAATTGAAACTGGAATGGCAGCCTGAAGGAGTAGCTGCAACCAAATCATGAGTTCTGACATTCAACACCACTACAGGGTTTTCCTTAAATAGACATCAATTAACTTAGTATTCCTTTTAGGTGGGTGTTAACATAAGATATTAAATGATTCCATTAGCATAATACACTTGTCATACCATCAATTACTCATCTATTTCATAAAAAACAAACTGAATTATAGCCAATTCTTCATTAGCTGCTTTGGGGATTATTCACTTGTAATTTCTAGACTAGTTTCTCCTACACTTAGCAAACCTGTAAGGCATGCCACTTCCCTCTCCACTAGCTAATGTACGCTCTGCGAATAGACGATAATTTTCACGCTTGTTCAACCAAACAAATATAATTCAAAAGGAAAATCTTCCTCATCCATCCGCCTCCAAAAATTAGCAAAACAAACATATTGTATATTCTACAGGCAAACCAGAAATAGCTTTTGAGTGACCCTGTTTGTATTACCACTGACACCCCACCGTTCTCAGGTCTTGAAACCGCACAAGGACTTAAACGCTGAGCTATTTGAAAGACAAGTTCAGAGAGTGGCAGGTCCTCCAATCACATTGGCTGCCTGACTGCAAAAGGGTCAGAACACCATGAGCTACTGGTATGAGTAAATCAGACAACCTCTGCACAGCTAAAGCAACAAATGAAAGATATACACACCACTGCTGCTGCTGCCCATGGGGACAGGCCAGTGACTCTGCAGATGAGACTCTGGTGGGCTGGTTTGCAAAATCTCATAGATACTTATTAAAAATTACCAAAGGCTGGGCACGGTGGCTCACGCCTGTAATCCCAGCACTTTGGGAGGCCCACATGCGTGGATCACCTGAGGTCAGGAGTTCAAGGCCAGCCTGGCCAACACAGTGAAACTCCATCTCTACTAAAAATACAAAAATTAGCCAGGCGTGGTGGCACATATCTGTAGTCCCAGCTACTCAGGAGGCTGAGGAAGGAGAATCGCTTGAACCCGCGAGGCAGAGGTTGCAGTAATGCAGTGAGCTGTGATCATGCCACTGCACTCCAGCCTGGGTAACAGACCGAGTCTCCGTCTCAAAAAAAAAAGACCCGATTCTTGGCCAGGCACAGTGGCTCATGCCTGTAATCCCAGCACTTTGGGAGGCCAAGGCGAGCAGATCACTTGAGGTCAGGAGTTCGAGACCAGCCTGGCCAACGTGGTGAAACCCCATCTCTACTAAAAATACAAAAATTAGCCGGACATGGTGGTGGACACCTGCAATCCCAGTTACTCGGGAGGCTGAGACAAGAGAATCGCTTGAGCCTGGGAGGTGGAGGTTGCAGTGAGCCAAGAACGTGCCACTGCACTCCAGCCTGGGTGAGAGAGCGAGATTTAAAAAAAAATTCTCCCATTCTCTCAAGAGTTCTACCTCAGCCGGGTGTGGTGGCTCAC